TATATTTAATATTGTTAAATCATATATAAGAAATATAAATATTTGATATTTCTCAACTTGTTTTTTAATATTTCTGAACATGAATATATTAATTTATAAAACAAAATGTATCTTTAAAATTTCCAATCATAGATTATCCATTAAAAATTGTTGTCTTTATAAAAATATATATTAACTTAAATTCAAATTTAATTAAAATTTTTTAAATATTATAACTTATTTAATTTACTTTACATATATAACTGAATTATACAACCTAGCATTTTTAGAAGAGTCACTTTAAAAAAATATAAACCATTAAAACAAATTTCAGCAAAATATCTTAATTGTATGCTTTTTATAAAAATGTTAGGTTTATATGATAATTTATATGATTACAAAATTAATACAATTTTGAATTACTAATAGTGATTATAGATTTTTTTAATATAACCAAAAATTAAAATTCTTAACATTTTCCTTAAAAAAAACCAAATTTGAAAAAATATCTTAAAACATTTTTGATAAGAAAAAATTTAGAATTTAATAAAAAAAGTAATTTTATTTAATTACTTTAAATGAGTGTTCAATGCATTTTTTATAAAATAATTAGTTTTACTTGATTCCACTAAAATTAATGTTCATCATTTTTTGTATCCCATAATCCACACATTTTATTATTTTTTATGAAATATATAGATTTTGTTTTGTGACCGGAATAAAGCAAAGAAAAAGTTACATAATATTCATCCGTATCATTGTAAAATGAATAATAATATATTAAGATGAAAATAAAGATTTCATTTTTTAATTTAATAAAAATTTTCAAAAATATAAAGTTCGAAAACAAAATATTTTGCATATTTCCTGATTTAAATGTAGTTATTTTTTAAGTTATCAAGTGATCCAAAAGCTTTAAATGCCCTTTTTTTTTTATAAAAGGATGTTCTAACTAGTTTTTTTTAACAAAAAATAAAATTAAAATAGATTAGTTTTGTTTATTTTAAAGTTTTATTTGTTAAAGATAGTTTTACTTAAAGAGATTCAATATTCTTTTATTTACTAGACTTGTTTTGAAAAATATATATAAATTGTATTGAATACAAGTAAATTTATAAATCAAAATTCTAAAAAAAGTAATCTCAGAGATGCAATTCTGATCTGATTTTTATACTAATAATATTTTTAAATATTGATATTAAATTAACTATTCTTAAGCTATTATTCAAATAAATTTTATTATTTATTTTTTTATTTAAATAGCTCTTTTTATCATAATTTATTTGATAGCCTATTCATTAAATTTAAATTTAACTTTAACTTTTTGCATTATCAAACATTTTTTTAATAAATTATATCATTGTTAATTGTTTCCTGTTTATAAAGGAAATCTTATATAGTAGTCTATCAATTTCAGAAGTACAAATATATAAATTGACAATTGATTTACTGATTTATTTATTTAACTTATCATTATAGATAAATTCACCATTTAATGTCATATATAAAAATTGAATGAAATTTGGTATTGATAAATTCAATAATTTTTTATATTTGCATATTTGTATTTATTAAAATATATAGAACAGATAAAGCTTCAGAAATCATCAGAAATTCAATATATAAAAGAAAACTTAAAATTTTTTAGATATTAATTAAAATGATCACTAATAAATTATTTAAACCAAAACTAGAATCAAAATAATTTAATGTTAGCAAAAAGGTAAGGCAAACATGCTGTTTTTACCCACAAAGTTTAATCATCTGTTATGATTTAATAAGAAAAATTCCTATACCATTAAAAGGAGTTCATTATTTTTTAAAAGTTTAACCTGGTTTTGTAATAGTGGAATTAAAATAAACCTATTCGACTTAAGGTTATAACTAACCAATAGAACTAGAATACTTATTTTCAATTAATAATAATGCAGCAGTAACTAAAATGATTGTTGAATTAGGAGACATAAAGGTTTATGGGATTGTTAAGGAAAAAGAGGAAGCTAAATAGTAGTATGAAGATGGAATAAAGTAGGGAAAAACAATGGCCTATAGTGAGTAAGATGAGGAATTTCCTGAAATTAAAAGAGTTAAAATTGGAGCACTTGCTCCAAACAAATAATTAAATATCATTTTTGAATACATATAACCTTTGGATGTTGTTTTGAATAAATTATGGAAGGTAGAAGTTTAACCAATGGTTGATAACAACTATTTTAGCCTTAATCAACAAAGCTAGAGAATTTATAATAATTATTTTGAAAGACTCAACAGATATCTTGAGAAACTTGTTAATATTGATTAGTTTGAATACAACTTTAAGCAAGATATTACAGTATCAATAGATATCGGGTCTCCAATCACATATTACAAATGTCCAACCCATAAAATTTTAAGCGGAAATGCTAAAAATGAATACGCAAAGCAAGAAATTGGTGAGGATAAATTAAAGAAATTATATCTTATGTTGGAGGATANGATAGCCTATTCATTAAATTTAAATTTAACTTTAACTTTTTGCATTATCAAACATTTTTTTAATAAATTATATCATTGTTAATTGTTTCCTGTTTATAAAGGAAATCTTATATAGTAGTCTATCAATTTCAGAAGTACAAATATATAAATTGACAATTGATTTACTGATTTATTTATTTAACTTATCATTATAGATAAATTCACCATTTAATGTCATATATAAAAATTGAATGAAATTTGGTATTGATAAATTCAATAATTTTTTATATTTGCATATTTGTATTTATTAAAATATATAGAACAGATAAAGCTTCAGAAATCATCAGAAATTCAATATATAAAAGAAAACTTAAAATTTTTTAGATATTAATTAAAATGATCACTAATAAATTATTTAAACCAAAACTAGAATCAAAATAATTTAATGTTAGCAAAAAGGTAAGGCAAACATGCTGTTTTTACCCACAAAGTTTAATCATCTGTTATGATTTAATAAGAAAAATTCCTATACCATTAAAAGGAGTTCATTATTTTTTAAAAGTTTAACCTGGTTTTGTAATAGTGGAATTAAAATAAACCTATTCGACTTAAGGTTATAACTAACCAATAGAACTAGAATACTTATTTTCAATTAATAATAATGCAGCAGTAACTAAAATGATTGTTGAATTAGGAGACATAAAGGTTTATGGGATTGTTAAGGAAAAAGAGGAAGCTAAATAGTAGTATGAAGATGGAATAAAGTAGGGAAAAACAATGGCCTATAGTGAGTAAGATGAGGAATTTCCTGAAATTAAAAGAGTTAAAATTGGAGCACTTGCTCCAAACAAATAATTAAATATCATTTTTGAATACATATAACCTTTGGATGTTGTTTTGAATAAATTATGGAAGGTAGAAGTTTAACCAATGGTTGATAACAACTATTTTAGCCTTAATCAACAAAGCTAGAGAATTTATAATAATTATTTTGAAAGACTCAACAGATATCTTGAGAAACTTGTTAATATTGATTAGTTTGAATACAACTTTAAGCAAGATATTACAGTATCAATAGATATCGGGTCTCCAATCACATATTACAAATGTCCAACCCATAAAATTTTAAGCGGAAATGCTAAAAATGAATACGCAAAGCAAGAAATTGGTGAGGATAAATTAAAGAAATTATATCTTATGTTGGAGGATACACCATCCAATTTTATTCCAACAAAATAATTTACGCTTCTATTTTCAAGTGATGATATAAATCTCCCTCGTTCAATCTTAAGTCATACTAATAACGATGCTTTATACACTTAAAAATATTGTGCTACGTTGACTTTTATTCCAAAATTTAATTAAACAACTTTAGATGATGCATATTCACAATATTTGGATGGATTAAATATTGCAGAAAATTAAGTAATTAATAGAGGAAATTACTTATTTTTTATTGATAGAAGTGGATCGATGTCTGGTGTTAGAATCAAAAGAGCAAAATAATCTTTAATTTTGTTCTTGAAAAGTCTACCTGAGGATTGCAGATTTAACATCATATCGTTTGGAACAGTTTTTAGATCTTTATGGTCGGATTCTAAGTAATATTCTCAAACTACATTGGAGGAAGCCATAAGCCATGTGAATAGTATGGAGGCTAATATGTAGGGTACTGAGATATTTAAACCATTATAAGATATCGTCTATAATAAATAATATGGCAAGTCAAAAACAACTACATTAAATATCTTCTTGCTTACAGATGGAGAAGTTGATGCTGCTCCTATAATTGATTTGGTTAAAAGAAACAATTAAGCAGAAACTAGAGTTTATACTTTAGGGATTGGAGAGGGATGTAGTCAATATTTAATTAAGCAGTTGGCTGAAGTTGGAAATGGCAAATATTAGTTTGTATCAGATAATGAAGATATAAATGCAAAAGTTATTGATTTATTAGAAGATTCATTGACTCCTTATTTACAAGGATTTAATCTTGAATCTAATATTACTTGTATTAATTAAATAGTTCCTAATCCTGAATCTGTTGTGTGTTTGAAGAAGAACTAAGAATTAACAATTTAGGTTTTATTTTCAGTTTAACAAGAGAATGAAAATTTATAATTAACTTTGAGTTGCTTCGATCCATAAGAATAAAAACCAATTCAATATTCTGTTTCATTAAATTTAAATAATTCTTAAGAAAATGAATATTTTCATAAGTTAGCGTCGCATAAATTTATTTCATATTATGAGAATGGTGTGAAATATGGAGATAACCATTTAAATTTTATCAAAATCAATAAGGATACGATAGATGATCAAGATATAATTAATACATCTATAACACATCAAATATTGAGTTCTAAAACAGCATTTGTATGTGAAGTCTGTGATTTAGAAGATCAATTCAAATAGCAGATGAAGTAAAAAGTTTATATCACTATGCTGGAATAAAATATTAGGTAATAGAAAAAAATGGAAGAAAAATTCCAAGCTGCTAAACTAGAAGGTTTGGCATTTTGCCCATAAACATTTATACCCTCAAAAAGTTCTATGATGTGTTTGCCATAATCTCAATTCACTTCATTAGCCACAGTTGATTCTAGCCTAAAAAAAAAAGAGGCGCAAATTAGATTTAGATATGAAGTGAACAATATACAACAAAAATCAAAGCAATTATCATAAAAGATCACAGAAGAAAAGAGAATAAAAAAATAGATAGAGAAAGATATCGATATTGAAGATGAATTGGAAGAACGTGAATAATTGTAGACTTAAGTTAAAAAGATTGAGTACGAATAATTAGTTTCTTATTCACAAGCTGATGGTAGCTTCTTATATGATGGATAAATAGAAAAGTAAATAAATATTGAAGGATGGAAGAATGAGCAAGGCTATCCATAGAATGTCTGGCTTACTTTACTTGCTTTGCTATATTTAGATTAATTTTGTTTGCAATATAGAAAGTCATGGCAATTAGTGTACTAAAAGGGAATCTAATTCCTATAAAAGAACGGAGTTTCTTATAAGTAATTAAAGGAAACAGAACTAAATAAGCAACATTTATGATTTTATATGTGTGTCTAAAATATCGATAATATTTATTAATTTATTTAATGAATTTAAGATTAATGCTAGGTATGGCGTCTAGACTGATCAGTGCTTCTAGGCATATCACTTTGATGCAATACCCATAATTACATTTGTATACAAATTTGTTGAGCATTGGTTTTACGAAGCCCATATTACCTGACACTTCAATATTGACAATCAGCACTTTTAGAAGAAAGCCTGCCAAACTTAAAAAAGCTAAAAGAAAGTAAAGAAGAAAGAAAATCAAGCGGATGAATAAAGCCAATAGAGAAAGACGTAATTATTGATTAATTATTAAACACATATAAATATTATTGTACTTATATCTAAATATAAATTTATCAAATTTCTAGACGCTTTTCACTCACATATATACCATCCAAGAATTGTCTGATATCCTTATTTTTAACAGCACAAGCTTAATGAATAAGTGCACAGGTAAGTGATACATTATTCAAATCATTGCCTTAGAGTGTTAAGACATCTAAATTTTGTATATGATTATTCTAATACTCTTTTCTTCAGTTTCATTTCTTGTGATTGTGACTCCTGGAAGACATTTGATGGTTCTGATGATCTTTTCACCAAGGAAATTCTTGATTTCAACTCCCATACCTTTTTCTAAGAGATTGATAATGATTGGAAAGTGAGCATATGCCAACACCATCTTGAATTTATAACCAGTGGTCACACCTCTAATCATATTTTTAATTGAAGAGGCAACTGAATTAACTTGGCATCTTTATTTTCTATATGATTGCCACATTCTAACACTGACTCTAGATTTAGTAGTATTAGTTTTCTTGTTCACTTTCTTTTACACCTAGATATCTAAAGCAGCATGTTTAAAATTTTTGGTCAATTCCCCTCTTGGTCCTAATATTCCATAATTTTTATCAGTACCTTTTACTTTGACTTATTTAGACTTGGCTTAAATTTCAATCTTCTCGGGAATTGATACGTGCTCCTCAGTTAGGATGTATTTCATATCTTTTAATTCTTTTAATTAAATTTTTGAAGTCTCAACCCGTAATATTAATTATTATGAACATTATATAATTTAAATAATGTATAATGTTAATTGTATGTGTCATCACATATACCATATTATATTACTTTAGGACTTAAATTTAACTACATACTTAACTATATATAATAATATATATTTAATTATTTCTTTTTTTAAAGTAATTATTCCCACAAGTAACAATAAAATTAGAAATATTCTCAATTTAAAAATAAGTATAGTTTTGTTTTCAATTTTTCTAATACTATTTCTTAAAAGCAAACCACACGTAATAAGAACACATACAATTAGAATTAGTATTTTTTAAAAGGGGAAAATCTTTGATTTAATCTTTCCCTTATTGATTTCTTTTAATATTTAAGAGATTATTATAGTATCTTAATGTTTATTTATAAAGCTATTTTATAATAATTTTATAAATAGGCGATAAATCATTATAATTATTAATTCATTTTATGGAACAACACACATACGAAATCATTATCTTTCTTGTATAGTCACATCTTAGATTTTTATCTTAATTTTTTACCCAAAGTAACTTATAACCAAAAATTCACTAAGACATTCTTGATATTATTCCATTCTAATACTTCATTAACTTATAATGTCTTAACATCAGCTTATATAACAGTTTCTGCATTATATATAACGTTAAGCTCCAAAACACTTTATGTATATTTGCTTTTTATTTTAAGGACATCAACTTGCAAATCATTTTAGCTTAAATTAAATATAAAGGATTTAATTTTGTTAAAGGTTTGAATTACTACTTAATTGTAATCTTTTGGTGATTTTTATTAAGAGACAAGGCAATAACACATTATAATTTGTTTTTTATCTGAAATAACATCAAAACCTAAAGCTTACCTATTTGCCAAAAATCTTTACAATTGTATTCCTTCATCCTTTTGTAGAAATAAAAACTCTACTAGAATTTTTCCATTTTCAGTTTTAAACATCAAATAAACCCCGTTCTGGATAATACCTAGTTCCTCAACTTACTACTTTTTTGTTTCACTTATTTTGGCAATCAGGTTCTTAAATTTATATCAATTTACTCAAGGAGACCATATTCAAAATGTTAATATTGAATTTAATATAGAAGGAAGATATCTATTTAATTTAGTCATGCATTATATCCCTGAAACTTTGATCAAGCTCATAACGAATTTTAAGAAGAATAAAACAGCGTTCCCAAATTAGTCACTAAAAATATTCAGTTACTGAATGATATGAGCTTTGGCATATTTGCAATGTTTGTAGTAATTTACTAAATTTAGGAATCGGCGTATGACACAGAGACATCAAACCTTAAAATATATTAGTAAATCTTAGTAACCATATACTAAAAATCTGTGATTTTAGATTTACTAAAATATTAATTGAAGGAGAACCTAATGTTGCATATATATGTTCATTTTATTATAGAGCTATAGAAATGTGGTCAATAATAGGTATTTAATAAAATATGTATTATTAGGTTGTGCGATTGCTGAGATGATTATTTATGAACCTTTGTTTTACAGGAGAAGTGCTACTGATTAACTAGTTGAAATAATCAAAATATTTGGAACACCAACTATAGATCAAATCAAATAGATGAATCCTTAACATTAGTAATTCATATTTCCTTATATTAGGTATTCAAGTTTTATATTTTATAGGTATTCGCTAAGTTTAAACCAGAATCTCATTTGGTTGATTTCGTTAGTAAAATATTATTTTATTAACAACAAGATAGATTTAAGCCTTTGGAAGCATTATTGAATCCCTATTTTGATGAAATTAGACTGCCCAGTTTTTGAGATGGATAAATGAAATTGCCAAACTTCTGCGATTTTTACAAAAGTATTATATTAATTTAAATAATTTTCTAGAGGAATTACAAATCTAATCAGAGATAGCAGATAAACTCACTCCAAATTGGGTTAAAAAATGATAAAAAACATATTTATTTCTAATTTTGTGTTCCTTCTTTTCAATTATATAAATATAAATGAATAAGAAATCTGAATATACTTTTGAATAATAAAAGTAATCCCAATAAAAGTTACAATCAATCCATCAGTAATGTTAAATTGCAACAAAAAAAATTAGACAAGGTTTGTTAGAAGGAGGTTCAATAAAAATGTAAAACCAAGAAATTATGGGCATTTTCAAGTACTTCTTTTTTTTAATCCAAGCGATATTTATAAATTGACAGAGGATGCTGGAAAGAATTAAAATTCATAAAATTAGATTAAAGTTAAAAGTGGGGAAAGTATTGAGGAATAATTAATAAATTATTTTAAAGGTTTCTTGTAAGAATTCATTACTGATATTTATCAAAAGTTTAATGAATTTAAAGATGAGAAGGAGAGTGTATGAATAAGTATTTTATATTCAGGTACTCTATATTGTTTCAAAAACATATCATGATTACAAGGCTTATTCATATTGGCTTTACAAAATGTTTTCTTATTTGGATATATTTGCCATGCCATAAATTCATACAAATTTATCTAGCACCTCATTAAAATTATTTAAAGAAGGATATTTTGATAAATGCAATAAGCTGATTTTGAATACAATTTTATAATTTATTTAGGAAACAAGAAAGAATGGAATATTATTGAATAAATAAATCAAACAACTCATTCAGCTATTTTCTGTCATGGGTTCTAAAGAGGTTGAATTAAAGCATATGAAAGAAGTTGGTGAATATGATTATGTTTGCAAAAAGTAATAGGATGCATCAATTTTTTATAAAGACTAATTTTAATCACATTTATTGTAAGAAGTAAATTTTAATGATATGCATAGACTTAAAAATATTATAAAGAGGAAATAGATGATAAGTAAAAGTTTACTACTCCAGAGTTTATAAATTGGGGAAATTCCATTTTTAAACTAGAATTAGATATGTGTATAGAATGCTATCCAAAGAGTTAGTTAGTAATAGAAAATAAACTAAAAATGATGTTGGTTAAAGATTAGGCATCTAGATTGATCAATTCCCCTACAGGAGTAGGTTATATGTTGCAATATGACAGAACTGAAGAATTGAAATAATTATTTTTATACATTCTTCGATCTAAGGAATGCATAAGTCATCTAGCTAAAGCTTATCAAAATTATTTTGAATAATAAGGATAAATAATTAATAATTCTATTGAATAAGAATAATAATAATAAAAGGATGGTCGTTAACCACGTAATTATAATGATTATTTAATCATTTTTAGATGAGGCCGAGCTTTACTTCACTAGAATTTTAGAAATAATGGAAATAGCCTAAAATATATTAAAACAACAATTGTATGACGAACCAGAAATTTAAAAATCCTATAGTGGAGCTTTTATGTGTGTTATCAATAAAAATGAGAAATCTCCAATGTGGTTGGCCATTTATACAGATATAATCATAAGAAGTGAGAAAGGAGTAAATGAGATGGAAACTGATAAAAGATTGAGCAAGATTGTTTCTCTTTTTCAATTACTTTATCAAAGAGATGTTTTCTTTAGACATTATTAAAAATTCTTATCTAATAGATTGCTTAATTAATAGATATAAAATCTTTAATTAGAAAAGTAACTATTGTAAAAATTCAAAGGGGAAACTGGTACTAATGTTCTGTAAGATTTTTAAATATGTTTAGAACTTAATTATCCAGTATGATTAATGATATTGAACAATCTAATAGATTTGCCAGTGATCAATAAATTAGCAAAAATACTAAATTCGATTTGAATGTGTTTTTGCTTTCTCAAGGTTGTTGGCCAATCACAACTATTTTAGATAATATCATTAAGCCACCTCAAATTTAAAATGTTTTGGAGTATAAATTAAGTTAATATTTTATTTAGGAATTATGAGAAGTTATATTTAGTTAAACACAATGGAAGAATACTTACTTGGTGTTTAAATATGGGGCAAGGTGAATTAATATATAAAATTTAAACAGAAAAATACTACTTGAATGTAAATACAATTTAAATGGTTGCTTTCCTTTAATTCAATAAAAAAGATTCATTTACAATCAAAGATTTCTTGGATATGACTAAAATAGATAAGATAGATTTAGAAAACTCATTGATCCCTTTCGTTTGTATGAAGATCATTTCAAGAGAAAAATAGGATATTGAAGAATTTACAGATGATAATGAAGTTCTAAAACTAAACTTGGGTTTCTCTAATAGAGCAAAAAAAATGAAATTGCTACCTAATCAAAAAATGTAGCCAAAAAGAGCTGTAAAACAAATTAATTATATTTCTAGAATAAAGTTAAGGAATAAAATTAAGAGGAATTATAATAGATGGAATAATTAAACAAACAAAGAGAATTTGTTGTGGATTCTCAATTAGTTAGATTGATGAAATCTAAAAAAACAATTAAGCATCATGAATTGCTTGAAAATTGCTAATCTATGATTTCAATATTTAAACCTGATGTGTTATTTATAAAAAAAAGAATAGAAAATTTAATTGAAAGAGATTATATTAGAAGAGATGAAAAAGACTGGTATTTATCAATTATTTAAATTTATTAGGAATATTTATCATTATTAGAATTGAAATATTTTAAATCAATATTCATATCATACAATTATATTAATAGCTAAAAATCAAATATAATTTCTGAAATAAATGGAACAATTATTTTCTAGAAGATTTTGTCTCTTTGGAAAATTATAATATAATTTATCATCTATCAACTCTACTTTCTATTAAAATCTTTAAGAATATTTGTTGAACTCTTTTCTTCCTAATTTTATTTATATAGTTGTTAGAATTTCTTAGTATTATTATTCATTTGAGAAGGACACATCTCAACCAGAATAACGTAATGATGGAGATACCCTAAAATAAACCTTAAGTAATCTTATAGCAATCCATATGGAAGTAAACTCTCCTTCATTCATGGGTGTAAAAGTATTGAATAAATTCTTCACGCATATACAATGGCATTATTATAATAAACTAGAATTTATTCAATTGTGATTTTTTCAACATTTCAAAGGTAAGATTTTATATTTATAAAAAGCATTCATTTCAATCTAAAAGGCACATTATAAGGAAAGTGATTCAATTTTTAAGGAGCTTATATAAATTTAAAATTAATTTATTCACTTCTTATCTTGTTAACTATTGTTGAATTATCATAAACTTAGAATGTATGTCTTTAATCATATTGAATTCAAATAATAATAACTATTTCATAAATTTATTTATTAATTTATCTTGGCTGAAAATATTACAAAATATATTTTCATTTAATCAAACAATTGATTATGATGATAAAATAATACAAGTTTATCAACAGTTATAATTATAATGAAAACTTTGTTTAGATTAATAATATTATTTAATGGATATATTAATTCAACCCTAAAAATTAATTTTTTTTAAGAGATTTTTGGTTGCTGAGAATTTATTTAGATTTTGCTTTTTGAATTAGATTGATTTTACAATTACATAGGATGAAATTTGATATTTATGTTATTTTACCTTGCCCGTCTTTAAAGAGCAAAAAATGGTATGGGGAGTTTGGATATATTTTTATCCAAATAAATTATATAAAGTTGAAACATACATTAATTATATTATAAATTAATATATTATTTTAATTCATTAATTAATTATGATAATTTATAATAAAATAAAAATTATAATAAATTAATAGAAGAAATGAATCTTATTTTTATATTGTAAATATGGAGTGTTATCGGAAAAGAATAATGTTTGAATGATAATGTTTATGAATTTAAAACAGGAGAGGTTTAGTTAAAGTAACGCACAGAGTTGACTGAGAACTTAATGAAATTTGAGACTAATTAGCATAATTTGCATATAAATGATATAGTAGTTTAAGAAGACCAAATTTTCAGAAACTGTGGAGGAAAATAAAAATATAAAAATGATTAATAATAGGATAATTTGACAGAATAATAATAATAAGAAAATGATTATAAGTTGAAAGCAGAATAATAAAAATAAGGTAATGAGTAAGATATTAAAGCAGAATAATAATAATAAAATAATAATTAAAAGTTGAAAGCAGAATAATAATAATAAGATAATGATTAAAAGTTGAAAGCAGAATAATAATAATAAGATAATGATTAAAAGTTGAAAGCAGAATAATAATAATAAGATAATGATTAAAAGTTGAAAGCAGAATAATAATAATAAGATAATGATTAAAAGTTGAAAGCAGAATAATAATAATAAGATAATGATTAAAAGTTGAAAGCAGAATAATAATAATAAGATAATGATTAAAAGTTGAAAGCAGAATAATAATAATAAGATAATGATTAAAAGTTGAAAGCAGAATAATAATAATAAGATAATGATTAAAAGTTGAAAGCAGAATAATAATAATAAGATAATGATTAAAAGTTGAAAGCAGAATAATAATAATAAGATAATGATTAAAAGTTGAAAGCAGAATAATAATAATAAGATAATGATTAAAAGTTGAAAGCAGAATAATAATAATAAGATAATGATTAAAAGTTGAAAGCAGAATAATAATAATAAGATAATGATTAAAAGTAGAAAGCAGAATAATAATAATAAGATAATGATTAAAAGTTGAAAGCAGAATAATAATAATAAGGTAATCAGTAAGATATTAAAGCAGAATAATAAAAATAAGTTAATGATTAAAGGTTGAAAGCAGAATAATAATAATAAGATAATGATTAAAATTTGAAAACAGAATAATAATAATAAGATAATGATTAAAAGTAGCAAGGAGAATAATAATAATAAGATAATGATTAAAATTTGAAAGCAGAATAATAATATTAAGATAATGATTAAAAGTAGCAAGGAAAATAATAATAATAAGATAATGATTAAAAGTTGTAAGCAGAATAATAAAAAAAAGGTAATGAGTAAGATATTAAAGCAGAATAATAATAATAAAATAATGATTAAAAGTTGAAAACAGAATAATAAAAATAAGGTAATTAGTAAGATATTAAAGCAGAATAATAAAAATAAGATAATGATTAAAAGTTGAAAGCAGAATAATAATAATAAGGTAATCAGTAAGATATTAAAGCAGAATAATAAAAATAAGTTAATGATTAAAGGTTGAAAGCAGAATAATAATAATAAGATAATGATTAAAATTTGAAAACAGAATAATAATAATAAGATAATGATTAAAAGTAGCAAGGAGAATAATAATAATAAGATAATGATTAAAATTTGAAAGCAGAATAATAATATTAAGATAATGATTAAAAGTAGCAAGGAAAATAATAATAATAAGATAATGATTAAAAGTTGTAAGCAGAATAATAAAAAAAAGGTAATGAGTAAGATATTAAAGCAGAATAATAATAATAAAATAATGATTAAAAGTTGAAAACAGAATAATAAAAATAAGGTAATTAGTAAGATATTAAAGCAGAATAATAAAAATAAGATAATGATTAAAAGTTGAAAGCAGAATAATAAAAATAAGCTAATGAGTAAGAATCTACAGCAGAATAATAAAAATATGGTAATGATTAAGAATCTACAGCAGAATAATAAAAATAAGATTATGATTCAAATAATTCAAAAATATCCCATCAAAACAATCCAATATTACCCAATTAAATTTTAGGTAAAATACTTGAAAATATTCCTATAACAAATTTTATTTCCTTTGAACTTATTTATTCATAAAAGATTTTAAATAACTTTACTGAATAACAGTTGGAAAAATTATATGAAAAAATCTTTAGAGATTACAACGATCCTTTGCTCTGCATAGCAGCAGAAAAATAAGGAATACTAATTTTAGTTGGCTGTGATTTGGCTACTTAGGTTTTAGATGAAACAAAAAATATATATGCTGCCCAATAAAGTCCAAATGGAGAAGTGAATTGGTACTTTTTTAAAGGGAAATCATTTGGTTTTTCTCCAGATCTACATATTAAGCTTAATGTATGTGATAAATACAACCCTGAAGATACAAAAAGATTATGTATTTCATTAAGTAGAGATAGGATTGAAAGAAGGATTGGAAAATTGAAACAATTATAATAAATGGAAGTTTACAATTTATAAATATATTTAAGGTAAATATGATTTAATAATTTATTACAAAAGAATAATAAACTTATTATGTATTTTAAACAAATTATTGGAAAAAAATTTTTATGAATTAGTATCATTAGATTTAATAGTATTTTTAGAATAATGGTAGCACATCGATTAAAGAGAAGTACTACAAATAACAATCAATATCTCAAATAGTAGTACATGAAATCTATGTAGTAGTATTTTTTGTTTTAAAGTAAAATATGATCTTGATTTGGGCAATTTTTATTGATTAGAACTCTTTGATAAAATATTAAAAAAAAAATAATTATATGATACAAGTATTCTTTGCAATATTCTTAACAATTACATTAGCAAACTAAGAAATCTAAGACGATCCTATTATTGGAATTGATTTAGGGACAACTTATTCAAGTGTTTGCTTTTAAAATAATTATAATGTTGAAATTATAGCAAATGAAAAGGGATTTAAAACAACACCTACTGTTGTTGCTTTATCAAACGATGAATTTATAGTAGGATAAGATGCCTAAGAATAAGCTATTATTAATCCAAACAACACATTTTATGATATAAAAAGATTGACTGGGAGATAGTAAACTATGAATTTATTTTAGATATTATCATCCGAATGTGAGGAAGACATAGAAAAATTTGCTATATACTTTAACTGAATAAAACAACAGGATCTATATTGAAGTGCCTAAGTATAAAGATGAGAGTCCAAAGTTATTTAGTATTGATTAGATTCAAGCAATTGTTTTAACTAAATTAAAGAATTAAGCTAGTTCTTACTTAGGTTAAACAATTAAAAATGTTGTAATGACTGTTCCAATAGGATATGATGATTCTTAAAAATAAGCTACTATAGATATTGCAAAAATTGCTGGCTTAAATGTTGTTTAAATTATAAGTGAACCCAAAGCTGCTGCAATTGCATATAAAAAGGATATAGAAGAAAGAGAAAAGATTATTTTTGTATTTGATTTTGGAGGTGGTACTTTGGATATTACTGTTCTAAAAATTAAAAAAAGCTATATTGAAGATATAAGTCATGGATCAGGGAACAATTTAGGAGGAGAAGATTTTGATTTTAATTTAGTTAAATACTTTATTGAACAAATAAAAGAATCTACTAACATAGACATAATGGATAATAAAAATGCAATTTAAGCTTTAAAAATAGAAGCTTAAAAAGCAAAAGAAATTCTTTCTTCCTAGAAGATTGCTTTTATAAAAATAAAAAACTTGATTTAAGGATATGATTTTAATCACAGTATTACAAGGGAAAAATTTGAAGATTTGAATGATAACTTATTTGAAAGAACTTTATTAACTATATAATCAGCATATGATGAATCTAATTTATAAAAAGATGAAATTGCTGAAGTAATTCTAGCAGGAGGATCTAGTAGAATTCCTAAAGTTTAATAAATAATTGAAAACTTTTTTACTTACAGCAAGATCATTAAAGATTAAATATCAGATGAATTAGTTTGCGTTGGAGCTGCTATTTATGCAAATTAATTAACCAAAAAAGGCTAAGAAAGTACAAATCGATTTGTAGAAATCAGCAAGACTCCAATAAGTTTTGGTCTTGAAGTTGAAGGAAGATTGATGAGTATAATTATACCAAAGTTGTCTAAATATCCATTATCTTTGTCAAAATTATACACCACAGCTCAAGATTATTAATCTAAAGTCCTAATTTCCATTTTTTAGGGCGAAAATAAATCTGTAATATAAAACACATAAATTGGAGAATTTGAATTAATAGGTATTTAAGTAGCTAAAAAATGGATACCTTAAATTGAAGTTACATTTTCAATAGATTTTAACGGAATACTTAAGGTAACTGCTGTTGATTTAGAAACAAAAAGATCAAATAATTAAATTATAGCAAAAAATTTGTTGAGACCTACAGATGAAGAAATTCAAAAACAAATCAAAGATAATGAAGATATTGAAAAAGAAGAAAAATTAAAATCTATCGAGAATTTAAAAATATATTAAAATATATCTTTAAAAAACCTTTAAGTATAAGATTAATAAAATAATTAGACTTCTAAAATCAAGGATCTATTAAATTAGATTGAATATGACTTTATGATCTCACTTATCACTTCTAGTACTCACTGGGTAACGATGAATGAACATAATACGAATATAAAAAAGGAAGGTTTTGAAAAAGAATTGGAAAATCTTAAGAAGTAAGATATATTAATTTAGTTAGTGAAATTAAGAAAAGAAAAGTAGATTTATGAACATTATATCATACTTTAATAGATAAATAATCATTTATACATTTAATGTTTCAATAAAATAGAATAAGAATTAGTCAATATCGAATTACTTAATTTCATCTTTAAAATTATTTATAACTTAAAATAGTTTTTGTTATATTTATTATTGATCAATCTGATTAATTATTAAATTAAAAAGAAAATTGGATCAATTGATTTTTCTCTAAATTCTCAAAATATTTCAATAGTTTCTAAAATATAGTTAAAATTTAATTATAAGAAAATTATTATGTGATAGTTTTAAACAAAAAATTAAAGTAATTATAAGTTATTTTATCATTAAATTTATTCCGACCACTTAATAATTAGTTATAAAAATAAATTTTAGTATGAAAATAATAAGAAAAAACCTAAAATAAATCATTTTTACAAATCAAATGACTAATTTAATTATTGTCAAGCGATAATTTTGAGAAGGTGAAATTTACTAATCCTTCTAAAATCCATAAAGGAAATTGCTTGAGTCTTTAGGTAACAACTCACTTAGTCAATCTTTAGATTTGATTCAGCATAATTCGATCCCTGATTGGTTCTATACCCTCTATCATGACTAAAAACTATCTACTATGTATGAATATTAGACGAGGATCTAGAAACTCTAAAGCCTTATTATGAATCCACCTCCAGTTTGATGTTGATTATTCTAATCACTAAATATTTTTTTTTATTGATTCTATAAAATTGATTTTAGATTTTTCTCAAAAGATACTTTAAATTTTACTATCAAAATGTATGCAATAATGAATGATGGTTTAGATAAATTAATAATTTATAATTTGTTATATTGTAAATATATAAATTGATTAGATTAAAATGATTTCACTTTAGAGAAAGGAGACATAAATAAGTTTATTTATAAATTTAAAGCTAAAGGAATAATAATACATCAGATTTAATTAAAAAATTCGTGTTTTAGTAATTCTTTAGCTTCTGATCTTTGAGATGGATCATAGGCTAGACATTGTTTAAGTAAATCAAATAATTAATGTTATTTGATTAATGTTAAGTAATTACAATTCTGTCTTATTATCTGGTTCAATTACAATTACTATTGTTTTTAAATAATTCTTATTAATAAGAATATATAATTACTTGCTTAAATCTCTTCCTTTGACTGCAAATAACCCATATTTTATTTATGGTTTTCCTTATCTCATAATTTTGCCTTTATAGGATAGCCAATTAGGAACACCATGTAAAATATCAAGTATTATTGCCCCTTTATTTGTTTATAAAAATACCATAACTCCAAACATCAATTTTTGGAGTCCCATGCATTTGTGTAAGTGCTTCAATTTAAGTATTGTATTAATTAGAATATTTAGTCCAATTATGCATAATATCAAGGGCCTCAGGGGCCATGTATTCAGGTGTTATCATTCCAAATTGATCATTATCTTCATTTGAAAATGCTGATCCAAAATCTATAATTTTTGGTATATTATTCTCAACTAATATATTATCTGGTTTCAAATCAAAATGAGTTACATGCTTGTCATTAATACATGAAATTCCATTCAGTATACCATACATTAGTTCAATTAGTTTGTTTGGATGTTCATACATATCCAATAATTCTTAAGTCTCACTTATCTAAAAATTAAGATTGTTAGTACTGCATAAACTCTTTCTCCCTTGTAGAATTCCCCTTTCATTGTATAGAGAGCTTTACTTAATGGTTTACCTCCCAACTCCTATATAATCCAAGTATCTTTGTTTGAATGTTCCACTCCCATTATCTAAACTATATTATCTGATTTAATGTAATTAAATTTCGCCTCTTTGCTCTATTGTGGTTTGGCTATTTATTTCAAAGCTACCTTCTGATTACCCATTGATGCTAACCAAACTAATGCAAATCCTCCCCTGAATAGATTTAAATAAATTATATACCTTCCCAAGAGTTCGAGTTTGTCAAATCCTATTAATTATCTATCTCCATAAGTTCCTTTCTCTTCTTCAGTGAGTCCATAATCCTTATGCATTTTAAGGGATGGCAATCTATTAGGTTTGAGTGTGAAGCTACTATGCTTTTATAATTTAAAGATTGTATTTCCTGGAGATTAATTATATTCCTTTTATACAAGGTCTACAATCATTCGTTATTGCAACAGTGAATCTAATCCTACTATATTGTNATCAAATAATTAATGTTATTTGATTAATGTTAAGTAATTACAATTCTGTCTTATTATCTGGTTCAATTACAATTACTATTGTTTTTAAATAATTCTTATTAATAAGAATATATAATTACTTGCTTAAATCTCTTCCTTTGACTGCAAATAACCCATATTTTATTTATGGTTTTCCTTATCTCATAATTTTGCCTTTATAGGATAGCCAATTAGGAACACCATGTAAAATATCAAGTATTATTGCCCCTTTATTTGTTTATAAAAATACCATAACTCCAAACATCAATTTTTGGAGTCCCATGCATTTGTGTAAGTGCTTCAATTTAAGTATTGTATTAATTAGAATATTTAGTCCAATTATGCATAATATCAAGGGCCTCAGGGGCCATGTATTCAGGTGTTATCATTCCAAATTGATCATTATCTTCATTTGAAAATGCTGATCCAAAATCTATAATTTTTGGTATATTATTCTCAACTAATATATTATCTGGTTTCAAATCAAAATGAGTTACATGCTTGTCATTAATACATGAAATTCCATTCAGTATACCATACATTAGTTCAATTAGTTTGTTTGGATGTTCATACATATCCAATAATTCTTAAGTCTCACTTATCTAAAAATTAAGATTGTTAGTACTGCATAAACTCTTTCTCCCTTGTAGAATTCCCCTTTCATTGTATAGAGAGCTTTACTTAATGGTTTACCTCCCAACTCCTATATAATCCAAGTATCTTTGTTTGAATGTTCCACTCCCATTATCTAAACTATATTATCTGATTTAATGTAATTAAATTTCGCCTCTTTGCTCTATTGTGGTTTGGCTATTTATTTCAAAGCTACCTTCTGATTACCCATTGATGCTAACCAAACTAATGCAAATCCTCCCCTGAATAGATTTAAATAAATTATATACCTTCCCAAGAGTTCGAGTTTGTCAAATCCTATTAATTATCTATCTCCATAAGTTCCTTTCTCTTCTTCAGTGAGTCCATAATCCTTATGCATTTTAAGGGATGGCAATCTATTAGGTTTGAGTGTGAAGCTACTATGCTTTTATAATTTAAAGATTGTATTTCCTGGAGATTAATTATATTCCTTTTATACAAGGTCTACAATCATTCGTTATTGCAACAGTGAATCTAATCCTACTATATTGTATATATTTAAATATAATATCAAAGTAATATAATAATGGGGAGTATGATATAAATATATACTGTTAGTTGAGATGGGAGTTCTCCTTGATTTTTAAGAGAGTTGTCTCTAGTAATGAATGGGCATCATATTAATTATTTATATTTATACTCTTAACAAATATTTGATAAAATATAATTATTTATATAATATTTGAAATGTAAGAGTGGCCTAAGAAATTGTTTCTTGCTATAGCATTCATCTCTTGTTTCACCTGTTATGCAAGACCAGATTATAATCTTCCATTATTTGCCTTTGCATATTTGCTATGGGATATAGACAGACCTGTAAGTCAATCATTCATGTGAAAATAGGTATCACAAAAGATTAGATTAATTTATCTATTTGTATATTCATGGATTATTGATTTCGTTTGGCTTGTTTATTGGGGTCCATTTTGGAATTCTTCTACTTTTAGTCATAATTGGGCTGATGGAATTTAAACATTTGTGTTAGTGTTGTCCGTTATCAACTTTATCTTGAAAGTAGAAATTGAATTAATAATGTATAGTTGGGTACAATTGTAGTGTGCATTTTGGCAGAGAAAGAATGCAAAGATGCATTACATCCTGAAAATGCAATGGCACATGCAAAGAACATATTTAGTAATGATGGTTAGCATTAATGAATTACTTAAATTTTTAAAAAAAAAATTAATATCTATTTTAAATTAATGTCTTAATCAGTACTTTGGGAAGTAGTTAAGGGCAATAATGCTTTTTTAGTAAAGAGAAATGGATTGACACTCTCAACTGATCCATTCAATAACACTGGAGTATAAACATATAGCAGTACAGGTATAGAAGCAATATTAATATAAAAGGATTCATTACAAAAAATGCTATTGGTGTAGTACCAACATAATCAAAGGTTAATTAAATTAATAATGTGAATTTGGTTGCAAGAAAGAGCACAAAATTCTAATAAGTTGATAGAAAGACCAAGAATACTCAATCAGTTTATGCTTCAACATTGAGTGTAAAACATGGAATTCATACAGCTTCAAGAGTATCATGTCTTATGAATCATAGGTAATCAGAAAGAGATTTGGTACAAGAAGACTTGGATTGTAGAAGGCAGCTCTTAGAAAATTAGTGAAATTAAACAGAGCAAATGCTGTCAGAAGAAGAAACGAAATTGCTGCAACTAAAGCATAAAAGAAATGATTTGCATTATCAAACGATGTACAATATATATATATATATTTAATATTATTTTTTTAATGGAAAACTATTCATAAATATTCTTCAAACTAATAGAATCTAAATTATTATATAATTAAATAGTATTTATAATCTAAGTATAGGAATATTAATAATAATCATATATAATTTCAAATGATTTCTATACAATATAATAATTAAATTAATATTAAATATTAAAGACTTACAAACTAGTATATATAATCATCATTCTTATTTTGTTATTATAGATTAAATAAGAATATCAAAAGTTATAAATGATTGATGTTATTCAAATTTAATGAATTTAATTATTTAATATTTTATGTAAATGTGTACTATACTTTAGAATGATCATTATTATTTGGTTTCTTCTTGGTGTTCTCTAGCTTATTTCTTTTCAAGAGCTGTCAAATACAAACCATTATCATCTGGGAGTGAAATTAAGGATTTCTTTCCTTTTCCAATTGTAAAGATATTATTGATTCTTGTAGAGAAGTGTTTACCATTTGAATCCTAATAAATCTTTATTAATTTATACTTTAACATGGACAATATCAAATGATCCAAGATGTCTTTCTCTATGTTAAATGAGACCAACTCTTCCAATGTTATTACCTCCAATAATATAACATAAATTTCCTTAATAAATTATATATTTATATATTACCTGGTTCTTCTTTTAAGAAATCAACAACTTTTCCAGTTTCTAAATCAATTTTTAATGTGTCATTAACATGAATTTCAGGATTTGGGTATCTAATGGTTCTAGCATCATTAGTAACAATATAAGGAACATTGTTTGGTCCAACTTTCTTTTATGTTACTTTGACTAACTTGAATTTGGCTTCATCTGGTTTGATTGATTTTAATATGAATTTTCCTGAGACATCATATAATACTCTATAACTTTCTCTTGTTTTGTCAATTGTAATGACATCTGAGTCATTAATTATATATATATACCTAATAAACCAACTGGATATCCAAAGTCAGTTCTTACTTTTCCGTCAACTTTAATATTACCATCCTTATCAGCAAGAATCATTTAGACATCTCTTGCATACAAAGCATATTTAAGTTTATGTTGCAATATAATAGATAATGGGATTGATTCTCTTAATTTATGGGGTCCTTATGATGGTCTTGTTGTCCAATTTCCTCCTAATTTTGAGAGCATCCAACTCTTTGGTGCTGTAATTCTTTTCATGTGTTTCTTGGGTCCTCTTGCCTATAGATAATAGTAATCATTATTGTTACCATGATTGTTTAAAGAAAAAATTAAAATCTTTTTAATTTAATTCAAAATGTTAATATTCATAACATTCATAACATTAATAAATGCAGAAACATGTTAATGTAATACAGGTATATGTAATGCATAAACCTGTTACTGTCCTTATCCTTTTGCTGGTGAACATTGTGATTACATATTAAAATTAGGATATGGTATGAATTACACAACAGAGTTTGATCATTATATAGGACATGATAGAAAAAAAGAAGATAATGATTGCAAATCAGATTGCAATAAATAAGGTTTATGTATTTAATCTTAATGTTATTGTAAATCACCTTATGGAGGACAATATTGCTAATTTAAATTGATTTTTGTTGATGAAAATGAAAACAATTCTACACAAATATAAACATTAGACAATTTATTTAGTATTCATATGGATTTATAAACTTCTAAGAATATTATGACATAGTTAAAATAATTTGATAAGAAAGAAATGTATAAGAAATGTCCAGTTCCTTGTAGAAATGGTGGTTATTGTGTATTTGGTTAATGTATGTGTAAATCTCCTTATGTTGGAGATTATTGTCAATTTTAAATAGAATTTGAATAAGGAATGCCAGTAAAGTTAATAATTTATTGATAGCATTATTAAGTTTACATGTTGATGATATTTTCATGTTTTGTTGGTATAGCAATAACAGTGATAATATTTATGATTTTGAAATTTATTGAAGATGAGAAAAAGAAATATGAATTAATAAGTGGTGAGAATAAAGATTAATGGTAAAAAAAAGGATGATGAAAATTAATAATAATATTATTATATATAAATGCAATTTTAATAATTAATGCCTGTAGGATATATGAAATAACCTTCTTTGAAAACATTTGTAATAGCAAAGATAAAGAAAGAGAATACAGAAAAATGTATTAAACTTTATAAACAAAAATATCATCAATACTTCTATTAGCATGATTATCTAAAATTAATTAAGTAAGGTTAAGAAAAGGATTATGTGTTGATGTTATTTTGTTTTCCAGAGGTATTTATAATTAATTACTATTTATAGGACTTAGATAAAATGAAGATAGATTTTGAAGTAGAGTAATTTCTTGAAATTCAATTACCAAGCATTGCACCTATTAATAAAGAATAAAAATCAATATATGATGAATATTGGAATATCTTACATCCAAATTATGAATATCCACATAAATAAAATAAAGATGCACCTCTTAAAATGTAATAAATTTTAGATACAAAACAAACAAGGAATAAATGTATTCTTTATAATGATGAAAATGATATCATTATTGAAGCAGAAGATGAAACACATATTAATAATGTTAGACATTGTGTTATGGTAGCAATGGAGAAACTAGCAGAACATAATAAAAATTAAAATCATCAAAAACATTTTCGTGAAACTTAATACTATGCAAGGGAAATGACTTTAGTTACATATTTTGAACCTTGTATTATGTGTTCAATGGCTTTGATTCATTCAAGAATAAAAGAAGTTTATTATTATCAAAAAAGAGTTGTAGATGGAGGACTCAATGATCAATTATAAATAAATAATATGAAATAACTAAATCACAAATATTTAGTATTTTATCAGCATTGATTTATAAATATAATATTATAATTATTTAAATACTATTATAAAAAATGAATAGCATTAATATTTATATTTTCAATTTTATAGATTTGAAATTCATATAATAATATTCATAAATTTTGATTTAATATTTCATAAAATATTTATTTATTAAATTAAAATAATACTTTCATATTTGAAGAGATATTTTATTACAAATATATATATTAATTTACTCATAATCTTTATTTCCCTTAGGCTTACTTTAATAAATGCAATAAGGTTTCTTATCTACGACTCTTTCGTTTCTTTGTTTATCTCTAGAATATCATTCTTTTTTCCTGAAACTACGAAAAGCATGAATATCATACTTTAGCCACTACTTATGAAATATTATTATGAGGATTATAATTGCTAAATTCACTAACTCTCTCGAATTGCTAAAATATATCTATGTATTATCCTAAAATCTTATCTTCATCTTCTTCTTCATCTTCAGAACTATCATCTAACTTTAATTTTACTGATTTTCTTCTCACTACTTAATTTATTTATAATTAGGGTACTTACAATACCTATTAATATCCTTACTCATTCATAACACATAAAGACTCATTCCCTCCTTTCTTCATAATCTTCTCATATACAGGTACTTCTTCTTCAGGCAACTCTGCCTAAGATCCATAATTTATAGATGTCTTTCTATTATTTTTTAACCCTGTTGTATTTAGATATTAATTATTCTACTAACAAAACCTAAATGTCCTAGGAGAAGATTCATCTATAGAAAGCTAAATTCTTTAAGATAAAGAAGCTTTTCCCTATGTATTCATCTACAAAGTAGTCTATGGAATCTGATTAAAAGTATATTGATTTCCAAAATGAATACCATGTTATTATTATAATTCCTTTATCTCTTCTATTTAAACAAGATCTTCATTTTTCATCATGTAATTTAAAACACTTTCTAAAACAATGAAATGATGTTTCAATGCATACATTTTCCTTGTATGATTATGTCTAATATATTTAGGTGTTCTATCAACAGGAGTGAATCTTCTGTAATTGTATAAAGTTTTGATTCTATTAGGTATTCCAAATAATGATGGACAAGTATTTGTAAAATGAGAATCACTTTGACATGTATTACATTTTATTTAAATTACTTTTAAATTTAAATTTTATGCTATATCATCTGTTATCTACTAGAATATCTCCTATAAGTAATAGATTTCAATATATATATACATAATCAGAAGGGTGATCCTTAAAGACATTGTGTAATTAGTCTCTTGAAATCTATAGAACTTTAGTAGTCTTTGAAGCTACAGCATCATAAGAATAAGATCTTTTGGAAAAGAAATCTAATTATCCAATAAAGGATGGATTACTTATCTTTTATAACAATCTTGGTTAATCATTTAGTGTTAATACTAATTTAATTTCTCCTGTTACAAGAATAAATAAATAAGATGATTTATTATTCCTTTTAAAAAGATAATCATCAGATTGTATTTATCTTTCTTCTAAATACATACATAATTTATTCTATAAAGGTTAACTAAAATTCTTAAAAAATGATAATTAATTTAATATTTTAGCATTAACATCTACAATCATTTGATCTTTTAAACTTTTAGGAATTAAATCTGAAAATTATATTACTTTTTAAGAGGGTTTACTCCACAAATATTCAAAATATCTTCTAAATTTAATTTAAAGATCATCAGATACATTTTAACTTTTTAAATATCTATTTAATTAATTCATATTATTTTTTAAATGAACTGATTATTTTGAAAAATCTTGGAATATACCACCAATATTATTTACAGTATATGCAAATGTTGCAGATGAAATCATAGTCATAAATATTACAAAGATTCTTTCAGTCAAATTAACAGGTGTTATATCTCCATATCCAATTGTTGTCATTGTAACAATACTCCAATAAAATGATACTACATATCTATCTAACCATGATTCATTCTATAAATTAGCTACTTTCAACCATGTCTTGCCTTCATGATTACCCCATTCACCCCATTGTCCTATAATATGCCAAATACAGGCTGAAAAATGAGCTACTAGAATCATAAAAGATCTAGTGCATATTTATATGCATACATCATTTTAAATAAATCGAATAATGCCGTTTATCTATTTGACAATTCTAAACGATTAAAAAGTGATGAAAATAAACTAGATAACTAGAATACTTTCAAAATGATCACAAAATCAAAGTATCTAAAATCAAATTGTTATCCTATAAAGAAAGGAACAACCAAAAATAAATCAATTAAAAAACCTATCTAATATTAATATCCATTAACCTTCTATGCAATAAAATTTAACAATCTTTGCTCTATTTGTTATTAGTATACCTTTATTATAAATACAAGTATTGAATTTCAAGATAATTTCTAAAAGAAATGAATAAACAGGTAATTATTCAAAAAAGAATTCTTTACTTTTTAAAGGAAAGTCAACTATTTCTGGAAATGAAATACGTAAAGACACATAAAACACATTTATTGTTACTATCAAAATCAAGTAAATATTCCATATGATTATGATAGTGTCATCTGGTTTCAATAACCATTTTCTTACATTATTACTTAAAAATTAACTATGATGTTCTCTCATTATTATTTAAATTTACATAATATGCAAGAAAACCAATTATTTAATTTGAGTAAGATTTATGAGGGTTTATCTTTTGGCAATAATCCTTAATATTTGTAAAAATTATAGTCAGCTGCCTTATCCTTAATTAAATTGAATTCTTGTTTAGTGAAAAGACTCATATCCTTTCGTGTAATCTATCTAGTTATTAGAACAATAAATCTAGAAACTATAAGTATTATTCTCAATGCTTTGTATTTCCAAATAGGATTCTCTATCCCAAAGCTATGATGTTGAGTTCTTCTACCCCACAATAATACTTTTGAACTCTTATTTATATTAGTTTCTAAAGGTTCAGGACAATCCTCATTGTTACTTATTTGACTAATGATCATGAAAAATATAATAATTATATAAAAATGGATAAACTTGATAAAATTATAGCATAATTAGATGAATTGGAGATTAGTCAAAAACATAGAGAAGAATTACTTAAAAGAAATTAAGCAACTTTTTTATTAAAATTGCCAAAAGTACCCAATCAGATTTTTTTATACAGGTCATATTAATATAGAGAGTATGTGGATTTTTAGATGATAATGATCTATATAGATTTACAGCAACTTGTTCTACTCTTAGAAAGATTATGTTTTGTCCTTTGGGATTTAAATTATTAATGTTGAGTAGAAATGCTAATCATTTGGTTGGTGGACCTAAACATTAAGAAATACAACTCAAACATGAAAAGATTGATATTATAACATGTGGAAATTTATCAACCAATAATAATATATTTGAAACAGAAGAAGATGCTCTAGCATAATTAGAGGTTTTAAAGGCTGTAAAGGATTTCTTAAAAAGTAAATTGTAGGATGCATAGATAACCATTAAAAAATTAGAAGATATGTTAGAGGATGCTTAGGCTACTTTAAAATATGAAAAATCAGTCAATCTCAAATTATAATCTAAGATCAATATTTTACAAAATTAATTATCCATTTCTGAATTATAAAGATAAGATGTCAAAGAGAATTTAGCAGAGTTGAATTCTAAATATAATAAAATAGTAAGACAATTAAAAAATTCTTATAGATTACTTAAATGGAATAAGATAGAATTATTTTATTGGAGGATAAGGAGAAACTTATGGGACATAAGAAAGTATTGATTGAAGAAGTCTATAGATTGAGAGGATTAGTATCTTAGATGGAAGAAAATCAAAATAATTATAGAGAAGCATTGAGATAAGTTAAAACTTTTATGGAAAGTGTAGAAGTTAAACCTATTTGAATTAGTTATTGATTGAATTATTAATTAATTTTGATGATGTACTATTTTCACAATTAATAAATTCATATTAAAATTGGATATTTTAGAGTGTGTATTTTTAGTTTAAAAATAGTATCAAATATTCCAATTTTAATTATTCATGGATTATTAATTACCTTCTTTGGCAGAACCATTCACATGGGTTTCTTATAGTATTTTAGGCATTTTGGTAGGATTATCATAAGCTGGTGGCATTGGTGGTGGTCCAATAATATCCCCAGTCATGATGGTTTTACTGGGATGTCCTAGTAAAAAAGCAATTTGGAACACTTACATAATGCTTTTGGGAGGAAGTCTTGGTAATTTCCTAAGATTAGGAAAAGAGAGAGTAATAATTTATATTTAAATTGCTTTAGACTGCTAATGGAAGTGCTCCATTGATCAATTATTAATTGGTTCAAATTACATTACCATTATTATTGGCTGGAGCAATTTTGGGAGTTGCAACAGGTAAATGGTTGCCAAAACTAATGATTGTGATCTTTTTGTTCGGTATATTAATGACAGTCTTTTTAAAAACGAAGAGTTTATACATAAAAACACGTAGTAAAGAAATGAATGAACAATTAATACCTGTTGAACTAAAAGAATTAACAGTATAAAAAGAGAGTAATCACTCAAAAGAATTGAATATAATAAGGGAGAAAGATGCAAGACTCTATCCAATAGAACCATTAACAGAAATCAGCTTAACAATTTTGATAATAATAGTTGTTACATTATTAAAAGGATCAGGAGCAGTACCATCTCTACTTGGTATTGATTATTGTGGCTATGGTTATCATTTCTTAAATTTCATCATCTTTGGAATTGCTTTTTATAATGTATAAAGATATAGAAAATTAATATCAAAAGATGAAGAATATAAGGAATCTATAGGTTATGATTTTGCAGATGGTAAAATGAGTGCAGTATTTGATATTACAGTGAAATCCAGTCTTTATGCTGGGTTTTTGGGAGGACTTGTTGGTTTAGGAGGAGGTGTAGTATTGACTCCTCTTTGGTTAGAAACTGGAATAAATCCTCCTAGAGCAGCTGCTTCTGCTACATTCACAGTTTTATTTACTTCATCTATTTCAGTTTTTATTATTGCTCTTTCAGGAGGTTATTAATTTTCTGAATTCATTATTTTAGGGGTAATAACATAAATATATAATTTAAGTTGGTTTCTAGTTTTGGTAGTTATTTGGTTGCAGGATTCCTTAAAAAATTAGTGAAAAAATATAAAAGAGAATCTATTCTAATATAAGTGCTTTTAGGAGTTATAAGTTTTGGATTAATTATACTTCCATTTTAATCTATTAAAGATGTATATTCAAATCCTCTTGGTGCAATTTAATTTGGTCGTTTATGCTGATACTTTTGAATTTCTTTATATATATATGTATTAATTATATAATAATAATAAATATTAATAAAAGATGGAATTTATGTTTTTTAATATAATCATAAATGATTTAAATATTATTATTAATTAGATTAATTAATAGTTATGAATCACAAATATATCAATTAAATTATGATTTATATATGGTTTTATATGTCTTTTTTCTCCATTAATTATAGATCTTAATGACTGAATCATAATTATAAGTTGGACAATACATTCTATAGAATTTCATTTTTTCGAAATCATTTATTATAAAAAAATCATCATGCCATACTTTTTAAGAAGAGTAATTTTAAAGTATTCTAACTATAGAAGCTCCTTTAATTTTAGTTTTTACATTAGATCTATTGTATTATTATTTTAGTGTTGTTTATCTATCATAGAATACAGAAATAGAATCTTTGTTTTCATCCAAATAATGTCTTGAATATTCTAAATCATCATAAGACTCTTGTTTATTATATATATCTTACATCAATATCTTGATTCATTTATTATTCATCTTCATCATCACTTTCTTTTTCTTTCATTCTCAATGATTAAATTGTTTTCTAATAACATAAATTAGCACCTCTCCTTCTAATTTCTAATTGATGAAAAGTACGAGTCTTCTCTTATTATTTTCTTTTATATTTATTCTATCTTTCTTATTTAATTGAATATTGATATTTTGCTAGAATTAATTCTTTATTTAAATTAAAATAAATGTCTTCACATATTTCATGCCCTTATTTTCTGCATAATAAACATTTCAAAAATAAATTATCATAATTTTACAACATAATTCTATCTCTAATCTAATAGAATTAATCTAAATCAGTATCCTTTAATTTTTTAAAGAAATCACATTAAGAAATATAATAAACTGTTGAAAACCCTTCACTTATTAATATCAATTTTTTATTCTATTACTCATTAAATAAAGATTTCAACCCTACACCATCACCAGGTTTCAAATTTCCCATAAGTATTTTATTTTCTCCAAATATTATATTAATATTTCCTTTCAATAAAATAAACAATCCTGGATCATTAGATAATTTCTCTTAAGGAGTTAAATTAATCTCTTAAACACATTCAATTAATTCTCTAAGTAATTTTAATGAGAAATTGTTCACTAATACTGGTTATTTTAATAATAATAATCCTTTATCTTATTCATTTAATTCTTATTTTAATTATGGACTCAATTTATTAAAGATCTTCTTCTCTTAAGTAGATGGTTGATGTTTATATACTAATCGAAGATAACTAAATTAAAATATACATTATTTTACTTTTCTACTCTCTTTTATAAATCTGAATCAATATTTCTTTTCTTCATATAATGACTCAATATTTCTAAATCGTGTTTCACTTTACTTTTATCTGCATCTAAATCCTTTAAAATAGAAGTTATTGTATTAAACACATATGCAAATATACATGATGAAAATAGAGTCAAACAAATACTAACCAATACTTCATATGGATTTATTGGTGTTATATCACCATAACCTACTGTAGTCATTGTTGTAATAGCAAAATATAAACCAGTTAAATAAATTTCTATCCAATGTGAATCTTCTAATCCTCTTTAGACTATCCAATTCTTTTCCATTGAATGTTATCCTATTCCTATCCAAAGACAAGCAAAACAATGAGCTAACAATACTACTGTGATTAATAATTTTAATAATTTAAGATGATTCTTAAATCTACCTTTTGGATCAATTTCATATTTAAATACTTCCATAAATATTGACAACTCCTTTAACTTAAGAATGAATAAGTATTTAACAGGAGTAAAATTTGAAACCAAAAAAACTATTAATCCAATTAATCCTCCAAAATCAATTAAGAATTCTTTTCGAAAATATTAAACAATTATTTTTCTTGTTTATGTTATCAATGTTCCCTTATTATAGATCTAAACATTCAATCTCATTATGATATCAATTGCCAGAATAGCTATTTCAACAAAAAATATAGGTCTCTAAATATCAATAAATTCATCTAATTGATAGATAAATGAATCTGATAATGGAAATATGAAACATAAATGTAATACTAACAGAAATTTTAAGAAACTCCAAAAAATTAACATTGGATGACTTGCTTTTATACTTCTAAAACTTCTATGTTTAACCATAGACATTAAATTAGACACTAAAACTTATAAACTTATATTCTACTGTTTGTATTAATAATACTATTTCTCAAATTAAGAAGAGTCTTTCCCTTTTTTAATTTATTAAATATAACAACTAGAAACATCATTAAATGCTTATAATTATTATTTACTTAGAAGTGATAGATTCTTTATTTTTGTATACTTTCTTAATTTCTATATTGCTTAAATCAAAAGTTCATTTAATCTTGTTTATACATTAATCTGTCTTAATTTTATGTGCCCTAATGCATCTTAAAATAATAGTCGTTGTTCACCAACAGGTGTATGTATCTAAACATGACTAACAGGAAGATCATTCAGGTAAGGTTAATCCATCAATTATTTTTATATCAATATATATTCGATTTATTCAAATTACATGTGAGAAATAAAATGATTTATTTTAGTATTTAAAGTCAAATATCAAGTCAAAAGCCATAATTGTAATTTTTGACTATTTACTATAGTAAACATTTCAAAATACTTGCAACCATTCAAGAAAGTTTATTTCTATGTAAATTTAATTATATTATAAAATAATTTTAAATATCAATCAAAAAAAGAATATATGTATTAAAGAAATATTATAAATGATATAAAATAGTTATAAGCTTTTATTTCATATTAAATATAAATAATAATGAATTAAATATCTAGATTTAATCTGTTTTTTTTAATATAGAAACAACCCTATAATTTAATATGTATAATTATAGTTAAAAATGATCATGATATCATTGAAGCATTCATTTTATTTCTTTTTGCTTATTGAACAGAAAATGTGTTGGATAATAAGGGTCTTAGTAATAGTTTGACTCCATTACTTTTAGGAGATGTACTAAATTTTTTTTTGGTTGTACTTTATCTAGTTGTAATTGGTACATCTTCAATTCCAGTAGGTTAATGAATTTATTAGAAACTATTCTTAAGGGATTTGGCATCAAAGATTAATTTTTAAATTGCATTCTTTTTAAAATTAATAGATTCATTATCTGTATTAATTCCAAATAATTCCATAAATTCTGCTTATATTCTCATTTAAGATTTAATAGTCTAATTCATAACATTGATTTAATCTTCAAGAATCAAGAATTCTCTTTAATTTGATTTTAATTTTAAGGCATCTAAAACATCAATTTTATTAGCCTTAATTTTTAGAAAATCTTAAATACAATCTATTTATTAAGCAACATCTTAAAGATTATAAACTTCCATTTATTAATTAACATTTAGTTTAATAGTTTCTTCTATTTTACATATAATTTATTCTGTTAATTATTTACCCATTAATAATCTTTATTCATCATAATATTGATAGACTTTATTAATCTATTTTGATATTTCTTAGATTTAAAGTAATATGTTTTATGATTATAGTTAATTTTCTTCATTTTTTTATTTTAATATTAAAAAGTCCATTTTAGTTGACTTTTGTAATAATTCATAATCTGTTGCTTTGATTATTTTACGGAATCCTTCAATATCATTTATATTGTTATCAACTATGTCTGATACTTCTTTCAATTTTGGTAAGATGAGATTCTACAATGATGAAAGTTGTGATTGGGTTGTAAATGATTTGGATTTTTCAATAAATTCATTAAATTCATGTAATTTCACAGTAGTAGTTAAATCTGAGAGAATGAACTAAAGGGAAAGTTATCAATTACTCAATACATCTTATTTGTTAATTACTGCATTTATATTAGTATTGGTGTATCGTTTAAGTTCAATTAGTTATTCACTCACATGATGAAATCTACAATCTAAGAGATCTAATTATTAAAAAGTTAGATCTTTAGGGGCAAACTTAGCTTAGAATTAAGACATATGGTCACTTATTTATTCTTCAAAGAGTAAATTAAAATCTTAAGTATTTATATAAGAATTAAGTGTTTGTTAAATTGTTGTAAATTAATTGTTGATTTGATTTTAGATTTTATTATTATCATCTTGATGTTCTCTTTTTAATTAACGTATTTCAATTTAAATATCATATAAATCTTCTTGGGTTGGTTTATTTTTAATTTATTAAGTAAGCTGTTAGAAAGTATATTCTTATGTATTAAATTTATACATAATGGCATCATTTTGTTGTTTTTATTAATCTCTCATATGATCAAATTTAACACTTAATAAATTATTTAATTCTGTAGAGATTTGATTAATGAATTTACTTTTTGGTTTAAATGATAATTTATTAGAGTCTTTGTTTTATTTACATTTCAATTTATATAGTCTATCTGTATCGAAATCAAATATATCACTTAATCCTAGAATGTAATCTATTATTAATTATATTGATTCTTCATCCATTTATATATATAGAAATTTTAATAATTGTTGATAATCAAGAAATACTAAGGTGAATAAATATTTGATTAATATAAAATTGCTGAATTTCATAATATATTGACTAAATTATGGAAAATAACCCAAATCATTAAGAATAATAACAAATCTGTTCCAATTCCTGAATAATATGCATCATAACTGGATCTGAAGTATTCTTTAACTTTGAAATTCATTTTGATTGCTAAACAAGCACTAACAATTAAGAATATTGCAATATAAATTACAATTCCAATCCATCCATCTAATATTATTTTATAAATTTATACCCATTCCCAATGTACCTGCAATAATACCAGCATTTAATGATCCATATACTCTAAGATTTTTAAGTTGATTTGTATTTTATTTTAATCTTTCTTAATTAACTTCTAAATCATCCAATTCAACTTTTGGTTCCTCCATTAATTAATTTATATATAAAAATTATATTTTATTACTTACTAACCTTTTCTAATAAATAAATAATTATCAATATATATTTACTAAATAAAGAGAATATATGAATATAAATACAAATAAAAAAATTATATAATGGATAAAAAAATCTAAATGATGGAACAATGCATATTACAACTATAATTAAAATTACTTATTGAAAAAGTTCCATTTTCTTAAGATATAATCCCAGAAAATTTGAGATTAATTGATGTACCACCATTTATTAGAGCTAAAATAAAAGCCATTTAATTTAATTCTAATTATGAAGTTAAGGATGCTGTGTTCTAGAATGCTAAGAATGTTGGATAAAATAGAGTTTATTAAGGATATTGGTATAATGATAAGTAAAATGGAAGAGGATAAGAATATAATGATAAAGAATAAAAGTATTTTTATGGATATTGGTAAAATGGAATCTTTGTTTAAGGTTTAATTATAACAGAAAATTATTTATTTGAAGGTGATGCTAAAGATAATTAATTTTTGAAAGGTGTTCTTGTTTATATGGATCAACGAATATATTTGGGTAATTTTTATTAAGGAGAATTAAATGATGAAAATGGTGAATATCGTTATAAAAAAGAGAAATATATTGGAGGATTTAAAAATGGAATGAAATAAGGGAAAGGAAAATTAGAAAATGAATAGTTTATATATGAAGGAGAATTTGAAAATAATAAAATTTGTGGTTAAGGTGTATTAATAGAAAAGGAGAATGGTTGGAGATAAGAAGGTTAATTTAAGGATGGTAAATTAGATGGAAAGGGTGTATATATTAGAAGTTTAGGAGATTATTATGAAGGTATATTATTAATATTATAAAGGTGAATTTAAATAAGGATAGAGACATGGTAAAGGTACTTTGAAAAGAGATGGAATAACTTATTAAGGTAATTTTATTGAAGGGAAATTAAATGGATGGGTTTAAATGATGGAAGATAAGAGGATATTTAAATGTTATTTTGAAATAGGAGAAGAAGATAAAAATAAAAGATATTTGGTTTAATGAATATAATAATAAATTAAACATTCAAAATCTGACACAATTTGTAAATAAGTATTTTACTATTTTGGAAAATACTAAATTTTATATATCCAAATCTTTTGCATCTTAATTATCAGCCTTCAATAATGATACCATTTTAGCTATTTCTTCACTTAATTTTTCAAGTTTTACACGTTTTGTAAATTATTTTTACAATTTCTCAAACCTTAAATTAGATTTCACACTCATATACATCAATATCACCAAAACTATTTACTATTACATTTATATATATACCTATTAAATATAATGGCAACATCTTTTAAATTATTCTCCATATCTATTTAGAATATTCAAATATTATTAACATCATTGTGTGATACCATTTCCTTCTATTTCTTAAATCTAATCGCTTTTAGTAATTTAACACTCTCAACTAATAATTTTATTCACTATTAAATTCCTATTTTATAAGAGTCTCTAAAAGAATATTCACTTTAAACTAATTTAAGTATATCTATATAGGTGCTCTGCAAACTGGACATGAGTTGTAATTTTGATAAAAGTATTTATTTCGAACACATGGTTTACAAAATGTATGACCACATGTTAAAGTAATTGGTTATAACAATGTTTATAAACATATTGGACAATCGAAAACTTGTTGCATAATTAATTAATAATGGACTCATTTATACACACTATTTAGAGTATATCAAATATACTAGATGCATAAACTGACCTCAAACACATTAAAAACACATTCAAATGCTTAACTGCTGATTACAAATTACAACTCAAAATTAACTCACTTCTTGTACTATACTTCATCTTATTAATAGTTACTCATCCATCTAAGTTAATAAGATAAAATTAGAAATGCATTAAATAAAGATCAAATGCTATATGATTTCATACTCTTAACTTGTTAGAATGAATAAAATGCTCTTAATTAGATTTCTTTGGAAACTTTAAAATATTTTGGAACCGTTGCATAAATTGAAAAATACAGATAAGCCATTGATATACTTATGAACTAAGGAATAGATTTACCAAATTAATATATACATGCTAATTAATTGTTTGAATTATAAAGAAATCTTCAAAATAGAGAAGTACTTACTTTACAGTTATTTTAACAAACTGTTTATGATCATTAATTAGATATTGAAGGAATAATTAATATAGTCTAATCAATATCTATTGTTGAAGAAAAACATATCTGCAGTAATATTAATAATATTTTAATTCTTTAGTGCTTGATAGTTATAAATCTACTTTTGCAGAGAGAATATTATCTATTGAAGATTTACTTAAAAATAAACAAAATATTTTAAGAAGTGAGTAATTAGAATAATTAAAAAGTATATAATACTTTGAATAATAATTCAATAAATAAGTTAATAAGCAACAAAAAGATAAATATAAAAATTTCAATTTATTTTAAGAATGGATAGCAAAATCATTGAATATCAAGTTATCCATAAAAGAGAATTAATAACCAAAATAATAAAATTAATTACCTTAATAATTGCATTAAGAATAATATTAATTGCAATAATAAAATAATTAACTTTAAAATTCAATACCCATATTAGTTATTGAAAATTAACCATCTGATAGAACTGCTAAAAGTGTAAGATCAAACATTGTTTAAGAACCACAAAAGAATCCATTTCATGAAGCTGAAAAAGCTTTGAGACATAAAATTTAAATAGAATTAGAGAAATTCAAAAGGAAACAATTACCAGATAAATAATATTCTGGATAGTTGGTTAAGGAATCCTTAAACATCAATTAAATGGATTAGAATTAATTAAAAAAATTTAAATTATCTAGTATAAAAACTAAATAAAAGTTATTTGATTCTCCTGAGATATAATTGGGAGTAATAAAGAAATTTATTTTAAAAGAAGAACTTAATTGCAATTTTTTAGAATTAACTTTTTATATAGGAAATAAACGATAAAAGATCTTAGAAAATTGTTCTTTAATTTTTGATGAACCAAGAGGATTGTAATTTTGGGTACCTTAAAATAAAATGGAAACATAAATAATGGGTAGAAAATAATATAGAATGTCCTGCTTGATAGGATATTAATATAGTTTATTTGAACCATTAAAAGGTAAATATAATAAATAAGAGGTTAATTTTAATGGATTGAGGATGATAAGGTGTGTGAGGCAATTTTTATGGTTCCTTGTTTATTAAGTCAATTCATGAATTTTTTACCAATAGGGAGGAGATATTTTAAGCACATTTGGAAGGAGAAGAAGATATTTTGTCATAGATCAGAGAAATTTAAATTGAATGAGAAAATTATTAAGAGTGTATTAGATTTTAAGAAATATATTCCAAATTTATGTTATTTAGTTGATTTGAAAGATTTTTTAGATGATGAAAGATAATAATTGAAGGATTTAAAATTAGGAGGAGAATTTACTTTATAAGATATAAGAGTTAGACATTGGATAAAAATAATTATTAGATAAAATTTAGATGTGGTTGTAAAAGTTACAGGAATGAGTGATGCTATTTAAATAGTGAAATGTCTAGTGTTTATTTTGAAGGCATGAATGATAATTTAAAATATATATATATATATATTTATAATATGTAATAAATTGGTCATTAGATCTTATCAAAATGGTAATGAAGTAATTCTATCATTTTTTAGGTACTTAACTAATTACAATTATAGAGCACTATTTCAATATGAAGTAAAAGATGAAGGTTATATTATGGGATAATTGATATAGAAAAAGGAAGATATTTTAGATGTGGTCATTCATACTATACGTTTTACTTATAGATAAGGATTTCAAGCATATCAATGTTAGGATAGTTATTTGACAACTGATTCTGGATGGGGTTGCGTAATAAGAGTAGGATAAATGATGATGGCAGAACTCCTGAAAAGACATTTGAAGTGTTTCTATAATGTGGATTTATTCTCATTTCCATCTCTATTGTAGGAAATTTTGTAATTGTTTAAAGATGATGATGAAATGGAGAGTTTGAAGGGATTAGAGAGATAATTAAAGTATGGGTTTTCGATTTAGAAGATAATGAGAATAGCCTATTAGGAATGGGGCAAGAAACCTGGAGAATGGTATAGTCCAAATTAAATTGTATAGGCTATTTAAAAAATTCTATCAGAAAATAATATACCATGTAATTTTATAATTTAAGAGTTTAAGATTGTTGCAGTTTGAGTTTTGTTCCATTTTATGAGAGTCAAATAGATTTAAAGGCTATTTTATAAGAGATGTGTATGGTAGAGAATTGTCATTGTTAAAAGAAAGTGTTTTTTATTGAATAATTCTTATAAGATTTAGAGAAATTGGAAATTGGTAAGGAAGAAGTAGTTTAGGTTATAAATGGTAATGATGAAATTAATGATGTGTGTTATGAAGATTAATAAGAATAGAATAAGAAGTAGATTAGGATATTATTAAAGAAATATATATGTTAAAAATGTTTTGTTGCAAGTAGAGCAGTAGCAGTATGTTTATTAAGTAGAATTGGATGTGATGAACCTAATCCAGATTATATTTAAGCTATTAGATAATTTATGAAGAAGAAATATTTTGCTGGAATTTTGGGAGGTAGACCTAAGGAAGCTAATTTCATTGTAGGTTTTGTTGATAATAAATTTGTTGTATTGGATCCACATATAGTATAAGAAGCTAAGATGAATACTGAAGAATATGTTAAATCATGTTTTCCAGGTGAAGCTCTATTTATGAATGACAAGGAAATTGATTGTTCACTTGGATTAGTATTCTATTTAAATAATGTTGAAGATTTGATTGAATTAATCTATGATATCTAAGCTAATTAGTAAATAAACTTTTTTTCTTTTGCACATTTAGAACATTACAAGTATTCTGATATTAAGAAAGATGAATAACTTATATAAATAAAAGAGAAATAAGAATTGTTAAAAGAATTTATGGTTAAATAATAATAATAATAATAATAAATATTGAATTTGGACATTTCAACTTATCAATATGGATATTCAAATGAAATTAGTTAATTAGAATAACCAATTATAAAAGATATGGATTCTAGTTATGAAGAAATCTGATAAATCTAATAAATCTAATAAATTAGATAAATATGATAAAATTTAGATTATTATTACTATTAATAATTATAATTCATTATTTATAATTCATTAAAATATTTATCAAGAAGGACAACAAAATCAATGAGAATTCTATTGATTAGATTAATTTCTTATCTCCCAAAAATACAAACACTATATATTGAGATAATACAGCTAATGTTAATGCAATAAAAGCTATTGGAATATTATCTACTACATTATCATATGTTGTTTATAAGATGATCACATTAAAACTCAAAATGAAACCAAACAACATGAATTAAACTGATAAACAAATTAATTTTAATATTAGATGTCCATATACTACTCCCAAACCATTTAATGCTATCATCATACCTATTTAACATAAAGCTACAATTATATTAATTTTATATGGTTAACTTATTAAAATTGGCAAAAATGATCCTATTGTTGTAGAAATACCCATCACACAATAAGTTATAAATATATCTTCACCTTATTAATTAATGTAATTAAGACTACCAATAGCAGGTGTAAATAACATAATAAATTGGTACATTATCATATAAAAACGTTCATCCTTATACATTCTCTTCTCTTATACTAAAAATGTATTATGAATGATATTCTTTTAATTCATTGCACCTCTCAAATTTTCCTTTGAATCAAATTCCTCTTCAACAGTTGAATATCTTGGAAACCACAAATAAGTTCCCACTAATCCCAAAATTAATATAATCATTGCATATATTAAACAACCTCTTCTATAATGAATATTCTCTGATAAATCTTCAATCTTTGGATTTATCAACAATTAAAGTATTAATCCAAAGATTAACCAACCAAATGAAATCCCTCCCAAAAACTAACATATACATTTATCTCTATGTAGATTATTACATCATACCGAAATTAAGTGGATTTTCATTCAACATAGAGTCCATAGGATCCAACAATATTAATCCTAATAAAAAGACATATATATTTGGTAAGATATTCAAAATTAATGGCATGTCTTTAATGAATCCAAAAAGAAATAAACTAAATGAATAAATCAAAATTTATAAGAGGAGTACAACAATCTTAACATTCCGATTAAAATATTTATTTAAGTACAACTAATCAAATACATTTTAATTTATATACTCTTGCAAACATTCCTAAATTTAATTCAACTATTAAGAGGAATGACTCTATTTTTTATAAATTTGTTTCTTTATCTTTCTCACCTAATTCATTAAGAGCATAGGTTTTAAGAATTGTCCAATCTATTCATTTAATGATTATATCATACTTAATGTAGATCCCATTATCATTTCAATAATAAAAGTGCCAACAATTTACATAAATAATATAATATTAAATAATCATTATAGCATTTTATTGTTTTAATATTGTTACAACAAACTCCATAATTTCTCCTTAGATACTGAATCTTATTCATCACTTCCACTATAATTTATCATTATTTCTATATCTCTTTCAGATAATTATAATCCTTATAATCATATATTTTAAATACCCCAAAATTCACTTTACTTTTTTAATTCATCTTTACTTATCTTTCCAGAATTAGTTGTGTCCATGATTTAAAAAATCATTTCGAAATTTTCAAATAGATTGTAGTTGAAATTAAATTATTCTGTAAATTGATTTAAGTCTAGCTAATTCCCTCTGAGATTTTCTAATTTTTTTACTAACAATTCACAATTCCTATCAAGTCCAGTTGTTTGTAGAATTTCCAAGAACTCACTAACATTCAATAGATTGGTTTCTGGAGATTTGAATTCATTGAATATTTCCATGATTTCTTATTGCTACTTCTACAACATTGGTTTATCTCCTTAATTCATTTATTTTAATAATTTATATATATATATATATATATTTTATGTAAATATAAGTAATGCAGAGTTACTTCATCATTGTCTTCCCATAAATACGTTTTTAAATAAATAAATAAATGAAATATTATAAGCAAGGATAATTACTTTGTTACATCGGAACATGGATACCTTTTGTAATATTAGTAACAATATTTGTATTCTTCTATGGAGTATATATATAAGTATATGATTACCTATTAAATTTTAAGACCTATTTGTTACCTCGTATAAGATAAGAGTATATTGAAAGACCAGTAGTAGAAATAAACACTTACTTGATTCAATTAGTACACATAAATGACTATGTCTTCAGCAATTCTACAGTGGTAATTACAATATTATTGCATACAATACTTATTCTCTTTATAATTACATTAATAAGAGTAGTAATAACATTACCTGGGAGAGTACCCAAAGAATGGTTAAATAAAGTAGAAGGAGAGATTAATAAGATGATAGAAAATGAGGAAAATATGATCAATTTCCATAAAAAAGGATCATAGACATCAACATCATTCTCTTCAGAAATAGATGATGAATAGAGATTGTAATTCAATACTAAAGCTAAATTGGAATTGATAGATAAATCTGGTCATAGATTTTGTAAGAACTGTTAAACATTTAAACCAAAACGTAGTCATCATTGTCGTTAATGTAAGACATGCTGGTTAAAAATGGATCATCATTGTTAATGGCTCAATAATTGCATAGGTTATAACAATTATAAATTGTTTAACAATCTTCTTTGTTATTCATGTATTACATATATCTATATAGGGTTACTTATAAGTTTTATAATGATTACTTATAGTCGTTGCTATTATGATACTTTAAATTCATTTTAATCTGATAGTAAACTATTCTTAGTTTCATTTACTTTTTTATTTTGTTGTTTCTTGTGGATACTATTAACAGCATTTACATTATTCCATTTATGGTACTTTAATTCATTATAATGAGATCAATAGGGCAATCAAATCAAACATCACAACCCTTGAATATTGTGAAAACAAACCTAGATAACCACTTTAGAAAAGTGCTTTAGAGAACTTTGTTGAAGTGTTTGGTATCAATCCTTTAATTTGGTTCTTACCAATTTAACCAAATACGAAACCAATATTGGATTGAGACAAGATAAATAAAAATTAGATAATTATATAATTATATTTTTATATAATGGAAAAAATAGATATGTTAGTTAAAGTAGTAATAATTGGAGATACAACAGTAGGAAAGACAAATATTATGACATAATATTGTGATACTAATTTTAAAATGAATTCTCTTCCCACAATTGGTGCTGATTCTAGAGTAAAGATGATTTAAATGAATGAAAGAGAAACTATTAAAATGATGATATGGGATACATGTGGTTAAGAACGTTTCAAATCTATTACAAAAAATACATTTAAAGGAGCATAAGGATTTGTATTGGTGTATGATATAACATCAAAAAGCAGTTTTGAACATGTAGAAGATTGGTTAGAAGTAAAACTTAACTTAATCCAAGTCAATCAAAGATAATATTGATACTAATACAGTATCAATTGTATTAGTAGGAAATAAATCTGATCTTGATGAATTGAGATAGATTACAAAAGATTAAGGATAAACTTTGGCCAATAAACATAATCTCAATTTCTTTGAAACTTCAGCCAAAATGGGAATTAATTTAAGTGAAGTTTTTGTTTCACTTGCTAGAAATATTAGAAAAATTATAAATTCTGCAAATAAAGACACTGAAATGTTGACTACAGATAAAACTAAAAATACAAAAAAGAAAGGTTGTTGTTGATATTCCATATACTAAATTATTATCAATGAATATTGTCTCTACAAGTAGGACACTCTGCTTTTCTTAAAACCCATTCCTTTATACAATCATCATGGAAATAATGATTGCATTTTAGGATTTTAATTAATTTTCCTTCATTAATCTCTTATAAACATATAGAGCATATTCTACTTTTGCTTATAATATATTTACTCTGACTCTTTAATTTCATCCACTCCTACCAAAATAGGTATGTCATCAAACCAATTTTTTGGTTTAATTACTTTTTAATTTTTGGTAAACCATTAATGAAATGGCATAAATTTTAAGTTCATAAAATTGAGATTCTATGAAATAATACCTTCTCTCAAATATGTAGAGGAGTAAAGTTATTGGAATTAAGGCTTTTGAATCTTTTTTTTTATTTCTTATACTCTCACCTAATTATTATTGAATTACTATTATTCTCTTTGATTCATTTTGTATTATTTAATACTTACATATTTACTAGAATTCAAAATAGATTTATATAAAATTTAATTTTTTATAGAGTCATAATCATAATAATAATTATAATTCACTAGACAAATCAAGAATTTATGATAAACATTAAATTTTCTAATTGTCCATATACTTTAAAGATTTCTATCTATGTTATTGTAATTCACTACTTAACTCCTCTATTATCTTATCCCTATTACCCAATAAAATCTGACAATTCTAAACATCTTTACTATATTAATTCTTTAATTTGTCCACTTCCAAATCCTTCTCCAAATATAAAGTATTCAAATACTCCTTCTAATATTGTTTCTCAGCTTCTAAATCCATCTAACTCTACTCTATCTTTATCTTATTTACATCTTAATTTTATTAACCAATTCTCATAATCTCTTAATCTTTCTTATTCATTTCCTTTGTCAATAATTATAACTTTGTATTTAAATAATTGATCTAAATTCATTACTCAATTATCATTACTTTCTATTCATATACCTATTACATCAATTAAATTTCAACATGTTTCAATTCCTCTAAATGTATAATCTCTTAATTCATTCAATCAATTTTTTTTATTATTGAATTTCTTACTATTTTTGTATAATCTAACATAAAAAATAAAAATAAATTATTAAAATATTCCAAATAAATATTCATTATCTTAATACTGTCCAATCATATTATTTCCATATTAATTAAAATGCATCATTCTCTTATTTGGCTTCTATTTCAGTTCTAGGTTTGGGACTCAACACATTTGATTTTTCAACACTCAAAATTGATGCCAATATCTCTCTTGCAAAATTAGATGAAAAATTATTCTCATTCTCTATTACATGAGCATATCCCAATTTTAAACTGAAATCTACATAAAAATATGCAAATCCTTTAGGAATCTATTTTCTTATTCCTCCCTTATTCTTTTGTATTTCAATAATCTTTTTATGAGTTGACCAAAATCCATCCAATTCATCCATTCCCTATTTGAAATATAAATTTAAATTAGCTTCCTTACTAATCTTATATGGTATAGCAACACATTCAATAATTGCATGAGGAACATATTTAAACTTAAAAGCATTCTCATAAAAGATACATTCCATATTCACCTTATCAAAAGCACCTACCAAGCATTTCTAAAAGTTTCTAATTTCTTCATATGTCTCATCTTCTACATCTCTAATACATTAAACATGTTCCATTGGCACTATTAACAAATGAGTGTAAGCATTATAAAACCCTTAAAATAACTCATATAATTTTACTTGATTTTGGCAATACAAGCATTGCATTAGTACTTTAACTTAGAATGTAATATTGACTTAATTATTCATTGCTCAAACAAAATTCACATTCAGAAATTGCTTTCTATAATTATCTTTACTAAAACAACATTTCACCCTTCTTTTAATTCTCCTTATTCTTTTCTTATTTTGTTTTCTAATTATCTGGTTTTTGATCATCATCCTCTAAATCATCAAATTATAATCCCTTTTCCTTAATCCTTTACTTGTGTAATTGATCATCCATTATTCTAACTTTCTCTATTAATCAACAATAAATAATTACTCTATCTAACAGGTTCTTCAATTTCATCTTCATAAACCTTTCTTACTTTTACACCTTTAAGCATATTATATTAAAATATTAATAGTATTGATAGTCAACTAAATTTTAAAATAAATAAGGCATAGATTAAGTTTGTGTGATACTGTAGATATAATATAATGTTAAAATATTTAAAAAGTAATTAGAATAGATATATAGATATTATTACTATATTTGGAACAATAATTATATGAATAAAAAAATTGAGTTAGATATGTAAAAATATTGTAAACTTAGTTTAAGATTGGTAGTCATATTTATTGATATAATATGGATTAATAAAATATAATAACATTTGCTTACAGATTATAGATATTTAATGAAGGAATTAAAAATAAAGGAATATTATCTAATTGATGAATAATCTTCTTTTATATTATATAAATAAAAGTTGAGATGATATTAGTATTTATGAAATAGTAATAATAAAGTAAAGGGATTGTAATATTTAAGGATTCAGTAATAATTGTTAATGAATAATACAATTGATTTATGTTAACTTTATATTGTAGTATTTGAGATTAATAATAATTGATGATTTATTTTATAATGCAATTTTGTATGTTAGAAATAATAATATATATTATATAATTTTATATGTAACCATAAGCCAAATAGTCAGCGAAGGAGGATGAATAATGTCAGGTGGAGGATCATATACTGAAAAAGTTTGAATTGCTTGAATTTAAGGGGAAAGGAGCATATGGAGTAGTGTGGAAGGCAGTTGATCGTAAAACAAAATAGATTGTGGCACTAAAGAAAGTAATGTAGTTTATTTGATTTAGATTTTTGATGCTTTCCACAATGCTACTGATTCATAGAGAACATTTAGGGAAGTGATATTTTTGGAGTAACTCAACAATCATGAAAATATAATTAAATTAACATCAGTCATAAAGGCAGAGAACAATAAAGATTTGTATATGGTATTTGATTACATGGAGACAGATTTACATAAGGTATGTATGTATGATTGAGAAGTAGGTGATACGTGCAAATATTCTTGAACCTATTCATAAAAAATACATCGTTTATCAAGTGTTGAAGGGTTTAAAATATCTTCATACTGGAGAAGTGATACATCGAGATTTGAAGCCTTCTAATTTACTAATCAATTCAGAATGTAAAGTGAAAGTAGCAGATTTTGGATTGGCAAGAAGTGTAGCAAAACCAGATGACAACACAAATCCAATATTAACTGAATATGTAGCAACTAGATGGTATAGAGCACCTGAAATATTATTGGGATCTTAGTATTATTCAAAAGCAGTTGATATGTGGAGTTTAGGATGTATAGTAGGAGAGATGATAGTTGGTAAAGCAATATTCCCTGGAACATCTACTTTGAATTAGATTGAAAGAATTATAGAACTTTGTGGTCGACCAAAACCTGAGGATTTAGAAGCAATATAAGCTCCATTAGCAGAATAGGTTTTATAGAGTATCAATACACAAAAGAAGAAGAGTTTTGCATAATATTTTTCTGCTGCTCCAGAAGATGCCATTGATTTTCTAAGGTAAATTTTAAAATATTTATGAATCTCAAAGAAAAACATTGGTTTACAATCCCACGAAAAGAATGACTGTAGAATAAGCATTAGAACATCGTTATATTAAGGAATTTAAGAATACAGAAGAGGAATCTAAGAGAGGTATTAATTAATATATTGTAAACAATATAGATTCTCCTCTTGAAACATTGATGAATGATAATCATAAATATTCAATAAAGGAATATTAGAATGCTTTATATAATCGTATAGTTTAAAAGAAGAGGATTGAACATAAATCATTAATCATAAGAAATCCAAATAATGGGAGTGTTAATTTGAGTGTTGATAAATCTACATCTCCTACTAAAAAGGAATCCTCTATAATAAAGAAAGATCCAGAAACATCTAATATTGATAATGAATTTTAACATCCTGGTCGTGCTCTTCATTAGAAATCATAATCCTACTCTTAAGGTTAATATTTGTAGAGAAAAACTACTTCATAAGAGGATATTTAGTTTTAGGTCTCGACACATCAAAGTCCTACTTATAAGAAATAATAATAGATGTTTCCTATGGTGGATTCTAACAGTCCTATTAATAAAGGTAGTAGAAAATCTTCTTTGGATAAAAAATTATAGAGTACTTTGACTGCTGCCATGTAAGCTACTCTGTCTCAATAATAATTCTCAAGAAAAGGATCACAAGGTTCGATTTCTAAAACTAATGTTTTCAATAAATCCACGATTAATACACAATATAACTCTTTGTTTCAGAAAAAGAAATGAACTTATTAAATATCTATATATATATATACCAAATTAATCATTAATATAATAATGAAAATTAACATTATTTTAAGTCTAATCAAGTTAAAAAAGGAAAGAAGATAAATATAAAAAATATTAGATAATATCCATCCTGAAGAATAACATTTTGTATGTAATAAATAAGAAGAAATCTTATATTACAATATTTACATATTAACTATACTCCCTATATTGAGAATATTGGAAATTGTGAAACATACTCTTATTGAAAAATTTATCACTAAAATTCCTGCATTTCATCCATTTACTAAATAATAAGTTGAAGAAGAATCCTTACATATTTTTAATGATTTCCTTGACTCATTATCATAGAAAGGATAGATGAATATTAATAAATATTTACACAATGTGATTAAAAAATAAACTAATTACTAAGAAGCATTAAAACTAGTTACCACTACTAAAACTCGTTTAATTTAACCTAATGATTTTTAAAGATAATCCTCTATATAATTAAAGCATATCAATGGTAATGTGAAAGTAAAATCAAAGATGTCTGATTTTTATGAGAATACTGCAGATGATCATTTATAAAAGAATATTACAGAAAATAAAACCTTTGATTTACTTTACATTTTTATAGGAGATATAAATTATCATAAATTACTAGAGGATCCAGATTATTTATAAAATTAAATATAACATATGAATCCAGATTATTGGAAAATCAAATATACACCACTAATGCATAAAATAAGTGAATGTATAGATGAAGATTTAGAGGATTTTATTAAATAAGATGATAAAAATCAAAATAAATAAGAAGAATAATAATTAAAATAAGAATATTGTTGTATACTTAGAGCTATTTGTTAATATGCAGTAGATTTATTAAAGAGTGTTAATGTAGCTACTCTATATTATTATTCAGTTAATTATTCATTTCAGAAGTTTGTTAATCGTTTGAATGATAATGAAGATGAATAGAGAATATTGTATTTTACATAGAATCATAATAAGGAGAGAAATTATAAATAACATATTAAAGATTTTTTAAGAGGATAATCAAATTTTATTAGAGAAATGAGAAATAAATAATTGATTGATTAAGCAGAAAGAGAATTGATAAAAATAATTTTAAATTTTTGAGTTTTTTTTTATTTATTAAATGTTAAAACTACATTAAGTGTTGTTACATGAGTTTGCTAAACTTATATTAAATCAGAGAATAGAATAAACACCATCAACTTTGAGACATTCTAATATTTTAAATTTATGGTAAATAAAGGGAATATGGATGAATAACAATTCAGATTTAAGATTGTCAATTAATTTCTACATATAGAAATGGAATACTAAGATTCTAGTTGAAGTTTGGGTCTTAGAAGTAATCATAACAAAAGAGTAATAGAACAACACTAAAAAGATAATTTTAGATAAGTCATTATAAAAAATTTAAGAAAACATAACGACTAGTTCTTTTATAATCAAGAAGTATATTAGGTATATTGGCCAATCTTCCACTTTCTCAAGATATTCCTTACTTTAATAAACATATTAAAATTGTATAAAATACTGAAAACAATTCAATACCAATATAATTCCAAATCATTAATTTTCCAGTCATTCCTTGTTCAAGTAAAAAGGTCACTTATTTTTACATGTAGGTTCACTACTAAAAAGAAATATAATTCTCTCCTTAGCTAAAATTAACATAGAAGCCAATCACTTAAAGAGAAGATATTGAAATGAATACTTTGCATTTAATACAATAGAATCTTAGATAGAGAACTAAGGCTTCATCTTAAATAATTGAAACTATTGAATACTTTATTTACACTGTGAATTGAATTATTACTATCTATATTTTTTTATATAATAATTAATAACTGAATGCTCATTGATCCAATAATGATAGTCAAGATCGCATTCTAAACATGCATTGTGATATTCATTTCTTTAACATTTACAGCTATTCTCTTTGGTTAACCTGAAAAGTTAACAAGAGGATTTGATCCAGATGGTAATTTGAATAATAATAAATAGGAATTGCATGTGGTGCTGATTTTGGATCCAGAGATTATCCTTACATTTATTTCACTAATCCAACTTCTAATACTTTACATTAAACAGTCTGTGTAAAATCATGTCCAAAACCAGATCATAAGAATAGCAGTACATATAACAATCAAATTATATAGTGCCCATATAATTAGAATGCATGCCTAATTCTATTGTTAAATAATGTTAAGCCAAATTTTCTATTGATAATCCAGAAACTTAATTTTTAATTTATGATACCTTTCTATATAAGGGAAATATTTGTATGCCTAGAAATTTAGTTTATTATGAGACAATTAAAGAAATATCCACTCCTCCCTCTAGATTAACTAATACAAATGATGTCTACTAGAATAGATGGATACTTCTTATATTTATATTAATTGCTACCTTTGCATCTAAATAATTATTGACTTAATTGAAGGCCAATACCTAATATAGTGTTTGGGGTTTAACATTTGGATTATTTATTTTTGTGGGAACTCTTGGAGTTATTTTTGTTTCTTAAGCCAGGGATGCTATCGCCAATTCATTAGAAACGAAATCCATATCCTCCTTTTAGGTTGATGAAGAATACATTTTGAAAATGAGTAATGTACCAAATCCTATTAAATTGGTCATCTTATCTCTAATTTTTGTAATTCTAACATTTTATGGAGCTTATTTCTTATACAACAATTATGATCGAATCAAAGATCTATCACAATTATTTGAATAAGTTGAAAAATATACTGCTGATCATGAATACCTATAAGAATTATCTTATCCAATCATTTTAGTCCTTAATTTCTTTCTATTCTTAACTATTTATACAATTCTGTATACATTTTATATATATTTCAAATAGATCAATAAGAGCTTGCTTCGTAATTGAATTCTAATAAATTGGACCCTTTGAAAAAATCTAAGGAGGCATTCTCTATTATTTCCAATTCTTGATAATATTTTTCTTCTTTTGGGGAGTTTAAGTCATTTTTGGAATAAATAACTATATCATATCATCATCCTTAGTATAATGGATTCAAGTTGGTCATGTTCATAAATAACAATAAGATTTTCAATACAATCACAATCAATCTTCACTTATTTTGACTAGATACTTTATGCAAGAAGCCTTCTATAATATAGGCAAAATAGCATTTGCTTCATTACTATTATTGATATCACCAATTAAATTTGTATGTGATGCTATAAAAGATTGGGCTGTCAGGAGAAAAAGTGAGAATTTAAGAAATTTTCTTACTAAATATTGCTGTCTACCCTTTATATAGATATACAAAAAAACTAGACAAATTGAAGATGTTGTTTATGTTGAATAAGCAATTAATAGAAAGGTTAATATAACAGTTAATGTATGTTTTAAATTTATTGATGACTACTTGGAATTAAGATAGGAAGATTCAAATACTGCTGAAATTTTCGAATAATTAAGTACTTTAATTCAAATAAATCATAGGAAATATTGTTGATTCATTTTTATTGATCATCAAAATATTTATTGCATTACTTTGTGCTATTATATGTAAATTTCTTTTGAGTTTTAAATACTTTTCAAAAGATATGTATGAAACAAATCTCACTTCTTTGATAGCTGCTATAATAGGATATTATGTGGCATCTTTATATTTCTAAATCTATTCGATTGTTCTATAAGGTTTGGGTTATATATATTTAAGAACGATGAATATTTGTAAAAAGCATAATGAGATTTATGAAAAGGCTTAATAAAAAAGAAAAGATACTGCATTTGAAACATTTAAGACCCTTTTTAAGGTATCTATAATAATCTATAAAATTTAAGGATTTTTCAGATATTATGATTCATTTTGAAAATAAGATTAAAAATTAGAAAAATAATAATAATGAACAACTTCCTAATTGATAAAATATATGTTTTGACAATTAGATTTATTTAATATATATATATATTTATCTTAATTGTTTATAAATAACTGTAATTAATCATAATTTAAAGTAGTTAAAATTACAAATATTCATTATGAGATTTTAATATAATTAATTATCATCTTTTATTATTACTTATCAAACAGATTAATGTATAGACTTATTTAAATTACTCAAATAATTTAAAGTATTTTTATTAAAATAAATAATTTTAGTATTAATATAATTAATGAAATCAAAACCGAAAAGTCTATTGGAAAGTTTGAATGAACAATTAATTGAATTAGAGGAAGAAGAAGAAGATGAAAAAAATGAACTATAAGGACTTGATAATTTTAATTATAATTAGTTTCAAGGATTAAAATATGATAAGTCTGAACCAAATACAAAATCAAAAGAATAAATTAGATGGGAAGATATTAATAAAGTATATGTAGATGATGAGGAATTATTTGAAATATAAGAAGCAGCTGAAGAGAGTGTTGCTTCATAAGTTAAAGAGAATGAAATGTTTAATTTGGATTATGAAATACCTGTATTAATGTTAGATGATGATAGTTAAATAAGTCAAAGTAAAAAAATTAAATTAACTGGTTTCAATAATTACATTAAATCTAAAGAAAAGGAGAGATAATAGGTAGAAGAACAATTTTAAAGGATTGTATAATAAAAAACTTAAGAATTAATTTAAGAATAAAAAAAAGAGGAATTGATGAAAAAAATATAAAAATAAAGTATTCCTTCTAAATTGTAGTAGAAAGTCTAATCATTATTTTAATAATGTGATATTGAAGTAAATCCAATTAATGTTGTTTAATAAAATATTACTACAAATACACCAAATTTAAATAAGAAAAAATAAAATGATAATGAATAAGTAAGTAAATTGAAGGAAGAAATATTGAATCTCAAAAACCTATTAAATGAATATAAATTACGATATAATTAAGATTAAGAATTAATTAAAACACTTAAAGTTACTATTTAGAAAGGAGATAACAATTAATCAAGAACTAGTTGTTCAACTAAAGCTAGCAAAACAGATGATATAATTAATGAAAATGAATAATTGAAATAAGATATGATTGTCTTAAAATAGTAACATTAAAAAGATATTGAATCATTGAAATAATAATTATCAAGAGTTTAGAAGATATAAGTAGGATGTCAATAAAGATAATAGAAAGATTAAGTTATACCAGATAAAACTAAAGAAGAAATTACAAAATTATAAGCAGAAAAAGCATAATAGGGTTCAGATTTTAGAAATAAATTAAATGAAGCTAATTTAAAAATCTAATAAAAAGATTAAGAATTAGATAAATTAAAAAAATAAATTAAAACTATGTAGGAATAAAAAGAATAACCAGATAAATAATAGATTGTTATTGAAGATTTAAAATCATAAATATAAAAGTTAAATTAATATATTGAAGAAATAAAATAGAAGTATTTATTTGATAATTAAATTAAATTATTATTTCCAAAATAATAAGATAATGTTTTAGCTGTTTTAAATATATTCTACAAATTAGAAAGTACTAAAAATATAATCAATTTTATTAAAACTAAATTAAACATTGCATTTACATATTTCTATTCAAAAATCTATAATGTTTATAAATGGGTTAAATAAATGATTAAATTTAAATGGACAAAATAAATTGTACATCATCCTGATAATTAATAACTTTTAAAAGAAGCCATTTAAAAAATAAGAGCCAATCCAACTGTTTTAGAAGCTGAAAATTAAAAACTAAATAAGACTTTGATGTAGCTAGGTTAAGAGAATAAGGATCTTTAAGAAAAATTATCATTATTATAATCTTAATACAATTAGAAAATGGAAATTTATGGTTAATTAGATGATTTAGTTAAAGTAGATAAAATTTAATTAGCAAATTAATTAATGATGCGCATACTAAAAAAAGAGGCTGAAGATAGAAAAAATGAGGAGTAAATAGAATACCCTGAATTATAAATTGTTAAAGTATTAAAATTTCAATATTTAGAAATATGCTGAATTGATTATGTAATCAACTCTTCCTCAAAATCCAAAGTCACAATCACCTAAATAGAATAAAAATATTAAAGTTGTTCCATCCCTATAAGGAATCAATAATGTATAGGTCTCTAAACCTGTTACTAAATGTGGACATATAGAAAGACACTAAAAAAGAGATTAAAAACCTACTAAAGGGTAATATTATAATAAATGAATCATAAACTTTTAATTTAATTTTAATTTATTTTTATATAATATATAATGTAAATTATTATAATCAGTAATATATTTAATCTATCTTTTAATATTTGATAATTCTTAATACTTATGTTAATAATTTCGTTGAATTTATATAGATATGTTGGAAAAATATCTCCTTTACTAATTTAATCATGATAAATTGATTTTTTATCACTTATAACATATATAAATGATTTATTTATTATTAATCATAATAAGAAGCACTAAAGAATTTAATTATAATAGAACTAAATAAATAAGATTTTGATGACTTTTTTGCATTTATTCTTAAAATTGAACTTGATTAAATAATTATAATTATGATTTAAAAAATAATGGAGAAATGAAAAAAATTAGATCTAACCTCAGAATTCTTAGTTGATAAAGAATACATTCTATAAAATGGATAAAATTAAATAAATCTCCAAACAATCAACTACTATGAGGATTTAAGCTTTAATAATTAGAATTCATAACAAATTGATTTAGAAGTTGGATATTATTTTGGTTTGTATTTTCATTTTGATTATTCAAAGTTAAATTTTCTAATAAAATTATTAAAAATACCTTTTTGTTTTTAATAATCTTCATTTTCAGGATTTTTCTATATTGCAATATCATATTATGCTTATGCTTCATCAATACGATTCAATTCAACTAGTGCATTTGCTATTTCAGAATTTTATATACCTTTAAAATAATAAAGATCTGAAAAATTGGGGTTTATTTAAATCGCCCAATCATAAAAGTTTAAGGCTTCTTCCTAACGATTTATTTAATGTAATGTTAATGCTGTTCAAAGTTATATGTTTAATTTTTACCTTTATTATAATAGTATTGATAAGATTCAGGATTTTTTTAGATAGCTAAATCAAAACATTCTAATGCTTCTTCAAACAATTTCATTTTTGTTAGAACAAATGCTAATCAAATGAAATTTAATTCTACCTTTATTATTATAAAATTTTGCATTATCATGATCTCTTTAAATTGCATACCCAAAATAAGTTAATGCCTCTTCAAATCTTTACAAATATATTAAAGTATTAGCTTTCATTATATATAATAAGATATATTTACCTTTATTATGATAATACTCTGGATTTTCAGGATTCTTCTCTATAGCTAAATCAAAATATCTCAATGCTTCCTCATTTCGATTTAATTTAATCAAAGTATTTGCTATTAATAAATGAATTTGATATACCTTTATTATTATAATATTCTGGATTATCAGGATTCTTCTCTATAGCTATATCATAAAATTTCAATGCTTCTTCATCTCTGTTTTATTCAACTAGCACATTTGCTATAAGATTACATGTTAAATTTTACCTTTATTATGATACTGATCTGGATTTTCAGCATTAAAACTAATTGCATAATCAAATTATTCTAAGGCTTTTTGAAATTATTTTAGTTTATTTAAAGTAATTGCTGTACAATAATTCATTTGATTGATACCTTTATTATTATAATAATCTGCATTTTTAGAATCTTTCTCAATTGCATAATCATAATATTTTAATGCTTCTTCTAATTGATTTAGTTCTTATAGAACAATTGCTGATGAATAAACATCATATATTTTACCTTTATTATAATAAAATGCACCATTTTAAGGTATTCTCTATATCGCATAATCAAAAAATTCTAATGCTTCCTCTAATCGATTCAGTTTGGTTAAAACACTTCCTAAAAATATGCTTATTTTATATAATACCTTTTCGATTAAAAAATAATGGATTTTCTGGATTTTTCTGAATAGCAATTTCAATTGATTCCAAAGATTCTTAAAAAAGTAACAATTTTTGTAAAACGATTGCTATTAAATTATTATTTATTTGATATTTACATTTATTATAATAATATTCAGGATTTTCAGAATCTATTTAAATAGAGTAATTATAATACTCTAATGCTTCTTCTAACCTATTCAGTTTGAATAACAACTATGCTGTTAAAATAATACCTATTTTATTATATACCTTTATTATTGAAATATTCTGGTTTTTCTGGATCTTTTGAAATAGCTAATTCATAATGTTCTAATGCTTCATCAATTCTATTTAATTCGTTTAAAGCAAAAGCTATTTATAATGAAATAACAATGGATGCCTTTATCATTATAATAAATAGGATTTTCAGGGTCTTATGATATCGCATTATCAAACTCTTTTAATGCTTCTTCTTCACGGTTCAATTTTAATAAAATTTACGCTAATAAATAATTTTGATAATTTGTACCTTTCTACAAATAATAATCAGATTTTTAAGGATCTTTTTGAATGGCTAAATTAGAATTTTGTAATGCTTCTTCAAAGCGATTCATTTCCACTAAAGTAATTGCTAATCAATAATTTTTAATGATACATTTAGAAAAATACTTATCAGATTCTTTAGGATTTTTCTAAATACTATAATCATAATATTCTAATGCTTCTTCATAACGTTACAATTAGTGTAAAGCAATAGCTAGGGTATTTTTTCATTTTACCTTTATAATAATATGAAAAAGAATTTTCAGGGTCTCTTTAAATAGCATTGTGGAAATTTTCTAATGCTTCTTCATAACGGTTCATATATAATAAAGTATGTGCTATGATATTTATTTCAAATTACCCTAATAATAATACTATTCAGCATTTTCAGGATTTTTTTAAATGGCCTTATCATAGTTCTCTAAAGCTTCATTAAAACGATTCATTAAATGTAAAGTAAATCCTAATATATTATTTTCTTATTTCTTACCTTTTTATTTATAATTATCACTATTTTAAGGATTTCTTTAAATAGCACATTCAGAGTGTTCTAAAGCCTCTTCAAATCTATTCAATTTTAATAAAGTATTTGCTGTAAATATTATATTATTTTTACTTTAAACTTTATAATAAATTTCTTTTTCTGGATTCATTTGAATAGCAGCCTTCTCAACTATAAATGCTTAATCATAATCTTAAAATTAATGTAAAGTATTAGCTTATTAATAATTTAAATACCTTTATTATTATAATATTCTGGATTTTCAGGATCTATTTATATAGCTTTTTCATAATATTATAATGCTTCATCAAATCTTTCTATTTAGGCTAAAGTGTTTGCTGCATTAGAATAAATGAATCAATGGTTACCTTTATTGTTATAATAATCTGGATTTTTTGAATCCTTTTTTATTGCATAATCGTAATATTGTAATGCCTCATCAAAACGGTCTAAGTCGTGTAGAACACTTGCTGTAGTATAATTATAGAATTAAACCTTTGTTGTTATAATAATCTGCATTATTTGGATCTTTTTTTATTGCATAATCATAATACTCTAAAGCTTCTTATAAACGATTCATTTCATGTAGAGTAATTGCTAGTCATAATACATTTATTTGATACCTTTATTATAATAGTATCCAGCATTTTAAGGATTTCTTTTAATAGCTTAATCAAAATATTTTAATGCTGCTTTATAATCATTTAATTCTATTAAAGTATTTGCTTTAACCATAATAGATTTTAATTTACCTTTATTGTTGTAATAATCTGGATTTTCAGGATTTTTTTTAATGGAATCATTATTACACTATAGTGCTTCTTCAAACCTTAACAATTATTTTAAAGCAATTGCTAAATAATATTAATTGTAATTTGTACATTTTTCATTGTAATATGTCGAATTATTGGGATCTTTTTTAATTGCTAAATCGTAATATTGTAATGCTTCTTCACATCTATTTTAATCAACTAAAATGTTAGCTTTTAATTATCAATTTATATAAACCTTTATTATAATAATAATCTGAATTTTAAGATTCATTCTAATAAGCTTAATTATTTTATAATTTTTATGCTTCTTTAATTTGATTTTATTGAGGTTATTAATTCTGAACAATAATTTATACTATTTCATTTGATAATGATGCATTTATGTTATTTATACTTTAGTAATTTGTTTAATTCAATTCATTCTAGTCTTATGAGTTAAAATTAACATCTTTCGATTCTTTCAATTTCTATTTTCTATTTTTGTTTTATTTAATTCTATCCAATTCTATTTAATTAGAATTTATTCAATTACATATCATTTTTCTTACTTTTTCTAATTTTCTGCAAAAAATATTTTATGAGAATATTTCTATCTCCAAAATTTTATTTTCAAATTAAAACACTCCCATATCTAAAATTTATAAAATATCCATAACCTTTCATTATCCTTTGTGCTTTTTATGTTATACTTATTTTCTACAATTTATTATATTCTTTCATTTAGCAAAGATTGTGAATTACATATTTTTGCCTTTAATCTTTCTTATATTGGCTTACATCTATTTTATATTAGAATCCTTTTTATTCAAAATGCATCATTCTTACGAATTAAAATAATAATCTTTTAAATAATAAAATTCTTCATTTCAATTGTTGAAAGTAATTTATTGATTTCATTTATAACTATCTCCTAAGTTTAGCTAAATCATATAGTTTTAAATAAAAAAATTATCTATTTAAATTTTATAATCAATGTCAATCGGATATTTTTATCTCCAAAACTAAATGTAATTGAAATTATTTATATTATTGCGAAGAATTTATTTAATATTATAAATTCATATTTATTATATTATTCTTTAGATCCAAGTTGAAGGATTATTTTTAATAATCTTTTTAGAAAAGACTTTATCAAAAACTTTCAAGAAATTATATTTCAAAATAGCTTTGTTAGATTATAGCCTTCTAATCTTTATAAATTATATACCAAAGATTCTAAAATAATAATAAAAATTATTCATAATCCATTTTAATTTTCTTATAAATAATCAAAAAAATTAAAGAAACTACTAATGAGAATTAACACTTTTACAAAAATAACAAATATAATCCTCTCGTTTTTAATATATTTAGATATATTTCTAGACCTTTATATATAGAAGTATCAAATTTTTATTATTAAATATTATTAGATTTGTATAATTAATATAAAATAATTAATAGATTATTAAAAGTATACAAAACTACTTAATAATATATTAAATCTATATCAATTATTAGAAATCATACAATTATAATTATATTTGAAAAATACTTATCAAAAGATTGTAATTTTTGTGTTTTATTTTATATTTATCATAATAATTTATATATAATTATAATATTAGTTTTAAATATTTAATTAATAAATTAATTGAATATAAATTCAACAAAAACATTATTAATTATAAAATAATGGATTAAAATCAAAACAAAAATCAGAAATAAAAAATATATAAGTTTGAACAAATTAATTAATAATAAATCCTTCCTAAACATCATTTATCCAATTAAATTATATTTAATCATAATTCTTCAATCCTATTCTCAATTAATAAAACTTACATTAGTGCTTATTTTTTCAAATTAGGAAACTTAAAATTTATAACATATTTCTTAGCTTAGAAAAGAATGCAAAAAAAATTATATTATATGGAAAAATCAAAATAATTAGTTTTGTATACAGTATTTGGATCAATATAAGTGGCTTCAATTGTTGGTTTAAATAATAACAAATAGATTTTTAAACTTAAAACTTTAGTTTTTACTGACAGTCTGACTATTAATAAAGATGAATCAATTACAATAATAGGCTCATAAGGTTAGATTACATTTTGGCATAATTTAAATTAGTGGAAGTCTTTTTAAACTTTGATTTGCCATAATATGGCTCCAATTTATTCTTTAAGCTTAAATCCATCTGATACCTTATTAATTTCATGTTCATATGATAGTACTATCAATGTAATAAGAAAATCTGATTAATAATGGGTTATCATATAAATAATTCAAGTTGAAGTTCATGGATTAAGTTTATGTTTTATTAATGATGACTATTTTGTATTTTAACCAATAGATTTAAAAGTTTAAGTGTATTAATATTAAAGATATGAGGATAATTTTGTTAAAGTTAAGGAAATTGCTATTTAGGGAATAGAATATCATTTAGATAATTCTTTTTTCTAATATAATGCAGCTAAAGATATTCTAATTAAAAGCAATGCATAATTTCTCAATTTGATTAGTGGTTTTGAAAATGTTGAATAATTAACTAAATCATCACTATTTTTTTTAGGTAATAGAATATCCAGTACATTTAGTAATAATGGGGATTATTTAATAGTGATTAACAATTTTGAAAAAAAATTTATTATATATATGTTGAAGGAATCCTGAAATAAATTAAAACCATCAGAAATGTTGTGATTTGTTATCATTATAAATAAATAGATATTAAGTAAATTTTTTAATAGAAAAGTTTTTTAAATCAGAATAATAAATTAAATTTTGAATATCATAAATAATATTTGTACATCAATCACAATATGTATGTAGTGATTTCATAAACTATACTATCCATATTATTTTTGAATTTTCTATATTAAAATTAAATTAAGAAACTTAATTAATATATATAATTATATATAATTTATTTATTCAAATTGGATATTGAAATGCTAAAACAAATTCGAATATTCTACTTTTCACAAAAAAACCAATTCCTAACATATAATTTATCCTATTAGAATAAACTTATATATTACTATTTAATAAAATAAAGATTAATGAGAGAATTCAAAAGGTTTCTTATAGATAATAAATTTCAGCATAAACAATATTTTTATTAATATAAATAAATTACATTTACAAATTTCAATATACTGCTAATTATTAAATGAAATAATAATAATTAATAAAATTTGTTTATATTATTAATTAAAATTACAATGAATATATTCTTTAAAATGATAGTTACCAATGGTTAATTTATGAAGACTAAATTTTAAATAAACTTTCGCTAAATTATAAAGAAAGTGTTTAATGAGAAAACAAATTTGAGTATTTAACCTTAAATCTTAAACATTTTTGGAAAGTAAAAAATAATGCCATAAAATAAAATTATCCTAGATTAATGGCGATATTATAATAATCAACTTTTACATTATATATTTTTAGTATAGTTATTGTATTTGAGTTAATTTTACAAATATAAGATTTTTTGGCGTCTATGATGATTGTTAGAAACATATCATTTTATGTGTTTAATAATTATTTAGATAATATTTAAATCGAAGAACATGGAAGTGTAAAATAAGAAAATCTTGAAGAAGATATCATTGATTTTAATATTTGTCACTAATATTTCCTAAAGCTCATTGTGGATATTTTTAGCAATAACCTAAGCATCATCTATAAATTATGAACTTCTCATCTTTTAAATAGTCTGTCTATTGATGAGAATATCTTAATATCTATTAATTCAAAGAGGCTTAGCACTTAATATATTACTACATGTTATTTCTCTTCTCTATTATGTAATTTACATTGAATCAATGTTGTTTTTGAATTAATCATAGACAATAAACATATTTATGAATTGTGCATTATTCATAATCACTTACAAGTACTATATAAGGATTGCAATTCATAAATATAGTATAATTTGTAGATTAGGAATTCCTTTATATTTATTAATACGAATAATTTGGGTAGTTACTCTTACTTATAATATATATACACTAGAAAGTTTGTCAATTATAGTAGTAATCTTCATTCATTAATTGATAACAAATTATTTGAAATTTAACAAAAATTAATCTTTTAATACATCTTAATAATAATAATAATAATCTCCTCCTCATGTTTAAAATTTTATGATGTAATCATTAATAAGATCATAAAGCAGAATGACTATTATTCAATCACCTAAAAAATTTTTTACTATTTAATTAAAAGAACTTCCAGATGAATTGAAATTAAAGAGATATTCAAACTTAACTAGTCTATCTAAATCATAAAAGAATATTCTTAATTAAGGAAATTCTAATAATTAAATGCTTTAATTATATTAAAATCTAATTAATCTATTTCCATATGGAATATTGATTATAAATTAGAATTAAATAATAAATTATATTAATAATAAGTGTGAAAAGATATTAGAATGTTAAGGGAGTGAATAAGTATTGGAAAAAGTAAAAGTGTGTGTCAACAATGCTAAAATGCAAGATAATGTAAGTGAAACATCAAATATATAATAAAAGAAATAGCATCACTATCACTTACTCTAATAAATAGCAAGAAAGTTATAATTAACAAATAATCCTGTTGATATTTTAGATATTATTCTTTCTCCTTAGAAATATTTTAGTATATTAGGATTAAAGGAAATATCATTATAGAGAGAATACTAAGCATCATTTAATTAATAGATTTTTATTTATGAATGGCTTCTTTAATCTGAATTATTATCAAATAATTCTTAAAAGAAATTGAAATTAATAATTATACCAACTTCTATGACAAATCAATAATAAGAATATATTTCAGCTTCTTCTTAAATTAAATCTTCAAGTAAAAGTCACATTTCAAATGCGAATAGTGACAAAGATAATCCTGTTTTACTCATTATAATTAAGAATGTAACTAATAAATACAAATGTAAATAAATGAGGGATGAATCCATCATTAATCATAGTTTAATTAAATCATTTTCCCATGAATTAAGAACTCCTTTGAATAGTTGTAATCAAATGTTGAATCTTATGAAATATGAATAAACAACATAAGAATTTTAAGATTATATTAATATAGCATAATGTTCAATTACTTTATTAATTCATTAAATTAATGATATTTTAGATTATGCTGCTCTTTAATCTTATTAATTTCATTATCATCTTGTTAATTTTACAATTCAATAGATTATTGATGAAATAGAACATTTATATAAACTATAAACTTAATAAAAAAACATTACATTTAAGATTAAAGTCTCAAATTATTTAATAGGAAGTAATTTTCGTAATGATAAACAAAGAATAATATAATTATTGGTGAATTTTTTAAATAACTCAATTAAATATACTCATGAAGGAGGTAGAATTAGTTTAAATATCATATAAGAATGTTAATAATACATTAATTTTAAAGTAAAGGATAATGGAATTGGAATAGATGAACATAAACTGAATTAAATTTAGAATAGTTTACATGATACAATAGAATTTGGTGCTGTATTAAAATCTCATTCTGGCAGTAAATAAGCTGGTTTAGGTTTGATTATTGCAGCTAAACTCATAGAAGGTTTGACTGAATCTAAAGATAATAAATTAATTATTACTTCAAAAAAAAATAAAGGAACAATAGTTTAATTTCAAATAGAAGATCTATAATTATAATCAAATTTTCCAAAATAATAAAATGAATAGATGATTCATTAAGAAAATCAATTACATATATAAACTCAACACTAAAAAAATATTATAATAGTTCATAATAATAATCTAAAATTTGAAAACGATAAAAATTTCCAAGAAGTAAAATCAGAGTCTTTTATGACATTAAGACTAAATGATTCTGAAAAGTAACATTAAATTTTACTACCTATAAGTCCAGATTATTTTTCAAAAAAGAATCTAGATTATTATAATAATTTATAGAAATAATTTTAATCGGATTTCTCATAAAAAAAAGAAGAAGATTTATTATGTTAAAAATGTGTTCATATACTTATTGTAGATGATATTCCTTTTAATTAAATAGCTTTAAAAATGATCCTTAATAAATATAAAATTACAGTTGATTAAGCATTTGATGGTTTTCAAGCAGTTGAAAAAGTTAAACAAAAAATGTTCAAACACTGTTCAATCTACAAATTAATTTTTATGGATATTGAAATGCCAGGAATGGATGGCTTTCAAACAAGTAAATATGTATAAATATCAAATAATAATTTATAGATCCTTGAAATAACTTCTAATTAAACTTTTATTGTGATATGTTCTGCATATGATACTTAAGAAAACATTCTATAAGGTAAAAATATTGGAATCAATACATTTATTTAGAAACCTGTTAAATAAGATTAATTGAATGTAGTACTTAGAACAATATTTAAAATTGAAACTAATTCAAATTTTAATTGATAATCATCAAAGTTTGATTATGAATTAAATTAATTTATAGTTCTTATCAATTTATATATAATAATTTAAACACACAAAATTTTTTAATTTAATTAAAATTTCATTTAATAATTTATTTGATTTTACTTACTGATCATTATAAATATATAATTTAAATCTTTATATTTTAAGAAATATTAAGCTAAATTGATAATAGTTAATTGTCAATTTTGATAAAATAATGAACAACTCTTAAAATTATATCTTATTTATAAATAAAAAAGGAAATATATTTAGAAAAGAAAATTCATATCAAAATAACAAAGGGAATTCATTCATTTGATATTTTTAATTATGAAATATAAAATAAAGATATCATTCATTATATAGTTTATATCAAAGGATTTTATAGCTTATTAATATTTTTTACTTCTCTCATTTATTATTTTAATTTTTTCTTGAAGAATTTTAACCTTAATGTTGTGTTAAATAAGCACAGAAGTTCATAAACATAGAATGATATATGTATAGAATCAATATTATGAAAAATATGATTAAATGAAAGTTAAGTATTAATAAAACTGATTAATAGAAACATCATCAATATTTTGAATAAATTTATTGTGACCAAATATACAAGTTTGGATAATGTTTATAAATTATAATATAAGTATTTTTACATTTTTTAAATCTGAAGTTAAATTTAATTTTTAAATTAATATATATATATCTATTTAATATGAAATTCAAAATAATACAATAGAAAAGTTTGAATTTGTTGATTTAAATTCACTTTGTTATTTAGTAGTTTTATTTGTAGTTTCAAATTTTTTTTCTTTCTATTATGATTATTATACTTAATTTTAATCATTTTATTCCTTTTTTTTTTTATAATTTCTTAGTTGATTCAATAAAATTGAGTAAATATTGAAAATATACATTAGTACTCCAAAAGCCAGAACAAAAAATTCAATTAATATTGCTATTAAGACTAAAGCAATAATTATCCAACCTAAAATATTTTTGTTTATCTCTATAAACTCTACAGTTATTTCATCATTAATTGCAAATGAAATAGTTATTAATATAATGGTACTTAAACAAAAATTTGATATTATTGCCATTACATATTCCTTCTTGGAATTATAGGGATTTTAATATAATAGGAAAACAAAACAAAAAGATGAGGATATATAGCATAAAGTTACTTACATAAGAGGAGTATAGTAGTAAGTAACCATGAAGAAGATATAAAAGATTTTGTTGATTTACCCAAAAAATTAATAATAATATCCAAATGAATTTTCAGGATTTATGTTTTCATAATAAATTCCATATCTCTCCACAAAATGCTTATTTTTAGCTTGAAGCTTATGAATATTTAATATTGAATATTGTTTAAACAATTAAAATATTATAATCCCAATTGTGATAATTGCAAAAAATTGATTTAAACCTACAATGATATTTGAATTATTGTTTGAATATGATAATTAAAGTAGAATTGCTAATGTAATATCCAATAAACATAATGAAATTGTTTATTTAAATTAATTTAAGAGATGTACTGAATTCTATTTTAACAGATTTGTTATGTATTTCAAATATGGATTTTATATTGTCATTTATTGATTGACTTTGATTGAGTTTTACCGATTTTATTTTTTAATTGAAATATTAAAAATACTAAAATGTTTCTCCTTTTTTATAGTTATTTTTATTTTCAAGGCATCATTAAGTAGAGAAAAGAATAAATAAAGTAAATAGTTTATTATGAATATGATGATAGAAGATAGTAAAAACATAAATGGAACTTATATGTTGTTAAAGAATAATGGATCAATTCCTTTATCTTTGAATCTTTTTGGAGCTTCAAAGTAATAATTACTATCAGGTTGATTCAATCCTTAATAAGTTGGAAAACCAATGAGGTTTGACCAATCACTCCTTAAGAAGAATAATTCCACATTGAAAGGATAATTAACATTAAGAAAATAGAAATTATTGATCCAACTTAATATTTCTAGAACCGCCCATAGATAATTAAAAAGATTTAAAACAATTGATATAGGTATCATGATTAAAAATATTAAACTAAAAGAGTCTTGAGCACTTGATATATATTCCTATTATGATTTTTCATTATTATTTAAAACAATATACTCATTTGGTGTGATATCATATAAAATACTTCTATCATTTTCAGAAAGTATTCTGTTTATAGAATTTGTATACAATAATTTTGCATGAATTGTATTAAATTTATAGATGGATTTCTTAAAATCAAATTTTAAACTACAAGTCAATACATCTACTTAAGTACAATTATAGTTGTAATCTTAAATATCCATATTGTCTATGATTATATTAATAGTATTGCATAAAATTTTGAATTGATATTCAGAGTTTAGTTTCAAATCATAAGTATTATTAGTTTAGGATAAATAATACTTCATTTTATTAATTTCATTATCTGAGAATTCTAAATTACATTAAGAATCACAGCCATCTCCATTATTTTGGTTATTATCATCACACTACTCATATGATTCAACTAAAATTCCATCACCACAAATAGAATTACATTATTTAGTTTTTATATCTGCAAATAGACCAGGGATTGATTCACAAAAATCACAATCAGGTCGATAACATGATGTACATAAATTTGATTGCAATTTGCAATTAATACAATTTGAATCACATTATAAGCATTTATCTTCTACATTGTAATACCCATCAATACATGATTTACAAATTAAATTGATCCTATCTAAACTTACACATTAAGTACACTCTTTATCACATGTCTTACAAGTTGAAAAGTCTTATTTACCACAAACATAACCATTTTATATTTTACAATCAATACATCCATCTCCACTTTAAACATCACATTCTTCTTCTATTGGATTAATTAAACCATCCCCACATATTGAAATACAAAGATCATCATTTAATATATATCCTTCATTGCATTTTAAGCATTTACCATAGTAACAGACAGCACAATGATATTTTTAGATATCCTATTCTATATCACATTTTTCATATTAAATCAATTCACAATTAGAACAACCATCATAGTTATCTGAGTTACCATCATCACATTATTCATTACCTTAATTGATAGAATCTCCACAAAGAGTCTCACATAAATTGTTATATGTGTTTAAGTAATACCCATAATTACATTATAAACATAGATTGTTTATGCATATACTACATTTAAATATACAAGATAATGAAATAACATCTAAATAGTAAGCCAAATTATATTCAATTTCTATTTTAAAAGAACTTTGTCTATATATGGTTTTTTTTCTTAAACAGTAACCATATATACAATTATCACAATGCTCTTCACATTAATATTTACAATTGAAACATCCATCAAAAGGATCATTATTACCATCATCACATTCTTCATCTCCAACAATTATTTTATCACCACAAATTGGAATGCAAGGATTTCTATCACTTTCATAATTATAATAGTCAAAGTAATATTCAGGTTCACAATTTAAAATTCCAACTACAACCATGTTCTAAATCCCACAAAATGCAAGTTCATGATTATTTTAACATTTAATCTCCATAGTTAATTACTTATTTGTTGACATTTAATAATGTATAGATTTATCCACTTGATATATATTGAATTTATAGTCATTAGGCCATATTTGATCCTATATATTTGGATTCTGTCCTGAATAATTTTCCTTTAAAGTTATTGTTTCTAATTATTGATCATTTAATTTATATGTAAATATATTGTTATTTAATTAAATATCCCCTAAAATCACTTCAAAAAATATTCTAATAAATTAAAACTCTTCTGTCCAATTTTTTGTAAATTTAAATGCACCATTAACCCATACTAATGGTCCTCCAAATATTCTTTTATTTGAAAAGTAGCTATAATAAATAGCATCACCTTTTTAGAAATTAAATGAATGAGATGATGAAATAAATTAAAATATTGTATCAGTAGAGCTTTTTGTTGTTGATAGATCATAAAATTCTCTTACTAATTGTTTAACCCTTAAATTGTTATTTTTTGAAATAATATCAACAATGCTTAAGCAATTAGTTCCATATATTTTTGTGTATTCTGGACATTAATCCATACATTATCCAAAATAGAGATATTTTTAAGGTTTACAAATTAAACAACTTTATGTACTAGTACATTTCAGGCAATTATCTTCACATTTATCTTAAAGATCTAAAAAATACTATTAATTATGATTACTTATATCTTCAATACAGACATAATCTTCATCATAATCTTTATTATTATCACATTTATCTTTACATCCATCTGGAATTTGAAGGAACTTTTAAACTGTTTGATCCTTACAAGAATCACATGAATTACTAGAACTCAAACTTATGTCATTATAACAAGTTAAACACTATTCCTTTCCTTGACCTGAGCAAGTCTTACAAGTTTTGTAACATCTATCTAAAATCAGTTAGACATTTCTAAATAAATAGGCTTCATCAGAAAATTCTTAATTAGTTGTACTCCATATTTCAAAATTAACTTATTCTTGAGAATGACTAATTTCTTTTAAGAATGATTTGCGAATCAACTATTTATTATTATATCCAGAACATTATTATAATGATTTACCCAAGGAAGTAGATAGGCAAAAAGAGTATTAAAAAGGTAATTCCAATATTGCTAAAAAAAAACTTTCATTACCATCAATACTACTATAACCATACACATCAATATATAGTTAGATTTAAAAGTGGGGTAATTTAGTGTCAATTATGTTGTAAATTTTATTACATTATTAATTTATTTATAATAGCTTAACTAAGCCCATTCCTTTACTACAAATAAATGCTTCTAAAGTTTAAGTAGTTTAATCACTACATTTCCAATTTGTATTAGTAAATAAAATCTATTTAGTATTAAATTCTTCATAAACAGAGTGTAAAAAACAATTAGCACTAAGTAATAATAATAATAGAACATTTAGATGAAAGGCTTACCTATACATTTTGTTATTTATTTATTATATTTGATATTTAAAAAAATGTTCAAAATTTAATACTAAAGAATATATTAATAGTCTATATCTGGGATATCACAAAGAGTCACAAAAAAAATAGTAAGAAATTAAGTATCAATTCATTCACTTCTAAATAAATTTTACATAATGAAAAAAATATAAATTTTCCTATAGATTTTTAGTTGTAAATCTAAAAATGAATAGCTCAATTCTATAGATAATTATTAGTGTTATGAATTCTAATTTGAATGCTAAAAAATTATTTCGAAGTATATATATATAATTGAGTTAAGCTTCAAATTAATGATTGTTTGATCATATATTTTTTAATGTATAAAAAAAATCAATTTTGTAATTATCTTATATCCAAAATCAAATTTTAATACTTAGTTTATATTTTAAGTGATATGTTTTATTCATAATATTTAATTATTTCTAGATATTATTATTAAATATATTAGTTTTCATATCAGAATTCTATTTTATTATTTATATATTTGTTAAATATTAATAATTTACACATAATCTGGATTTTTTTTATTTTATTTGTTAATTTTCCAAACATTCTTTGTAATGTAATTAATCAACAACCTTACTTTGTCCAAATATTTTGGTGTTCAAGTATTTTATAGAGAAAGTTGATAATCGAAATAATATTTAATAAGTTGGATGTTGTTGTTTTAAATCCTAATTATAAGCAATATCATGTATATTCTAATATCAATTGCTATAATAAATCATAAGGAGATAATATAATAATTATTAATTGTTGATCTATCTGTTGAGCTTTTGGTTATGAGGAATGTAATGATGATAATATTTATTATTTTGATGGTTGCTATAATTGAAAATTTTCATGCACTCAATAATTATAACTTTTTCAGAAATGTATATGTAATAATGAGAATAGTTTAAATTTTATGGAGTTGCGCTTGCTAATATATTGTGATACCAATTTATCCAAATTAAGCAATTACATTTGGTATACTACTTTAAGTAAATAATTTTTGATTTTACAGATTTTGAGTAATTCTGATGAATTACAAAGAAGACTTACAAGTTAATGCACTATATTAAATGGAAATTGAACATTTAATAAGTTTTGTGAATAAACTATTTTAAAAATTGAATTAATAAATGAGTTATTAAGTTAAATTACATTTTATTATGATATATGTCTATACTATTGAGCTACAAATTTAATAAATATCAAATGGCTAATTCTTATGATTGAAACAATAATATTATATCGTTAATATCATGGTAGTCTTTATTTTTTTTTGGAATCATTAATATATTAAAATATTATTTAATTCGAAAATGTATCAATGTTGATTATCAAGAGAAATTGGCTAGCATTTGAAGCCTTGGAAATCAGTACATATCTAAGGTTGATGGGAAAATTAAAATTCTATAATGTATTTAAAAGGTCAATAATTAATGTATGGTAGATTTTTTAATTTCAGTTTTTTCTCTCAATATTATATATCATGATTATGAATTAACGAGAGAAATTAAATAAAATCTTAAAGAAATTTTTACAATTATAAATAAACTTATAAATTATAACAATTATATTACAGTATTCTGATATTAATTAATTACATAATATGAATTTAAATAATATAACTTCAATTAATAAGATACTTATTCTTAAAATTTCTTCAAAAGCTTTATTGCTTATGAAGGATTTATTAATGCACAGGTTTACAAAATGGATTATAATACATCAGTTTTGAGTTGAGATTAAGTTAAGCATCTTATTTTTAAATAAATCTAGAAGATTCGAATTACTTTTCATATCAATAATAAACATATAATCAATCAAAGTGTTTTTAATTTTTTGTTAATTAGTTTCTCTTTTAAACTCTATTTTAAATTTTTTCATGCATATAAAAATAGCATTTATTAGAGTTGCCTTAAAATACTCGTCCAACCTCAACACCAAAGCTTCCACTTCTAAAGTTTTCTTTTACTTCTTGAATCGCCTTTCTATAACTGTATAGCGTAGGATATTTTTCTAACAATTATTATGCACTTTGTTGAATTTTAGATGAATATTTCTCCTTTTACATGAAATGGTTTATTCTGCTTTCTTTATAATTCATAATTTTTATTTTCACAATAGGAATTAATATTAATTTAAATGCTTCCTTAAAATTTTTAATTAATGAATAATTTTATTTTAATTCTGTTGAATTCTATTATTGTAATTTATCTTGAATAACAGATATATAATGATTTTATTTAGCCTAATTTGAGATGTTTCATATAAATAAATCTTGATTGAATAAAAAAATTACCAAATAAAATTTAGTTAATCAAAAAAAAGAAAGAAAAATATTCCTATCATAATCTACATAAATAGATAAAAATCGTATCTGTCCTTCTTTAAATGAGTAATAGGAGAAAATGAACATTAATTTCAAAATCGTTGATGAAAATCAAGATTTTACAATTAATAATTCAGAAAAATCTACTTTTTTTAAGAAATTCATCAAAATAGATATAATTTACAAGTTATATCCTTTAAAAATTACAAATAGTCAACTGGATTGGATCTTGGAAATTTATTGAAGTTACAGAATTGTTGATAATTGGCCTATAAAGTTAAATTTGACTATTCTATGCTCAATAAATTATAAGAGTGCAATTTCCAATTTCTTTCAACATAAAAGTAATACATAAATCTACTTAAATAATAAAATATAAGGCTAATGATAGACAGTTTAATGATGGATAATTATAGAAACCATATTTATTTTAGTAATGTCTAAATATAGAGGCGATTTATAATAAATGAGAAGGGTTGAAGAAATATAAATTTTTGTCCAAAATTCTCAACTGATTTTAAAATCCCAAATTCTAATAGCTTTTTAAATAGAATTAATATTAAATAGTATTAAATTTATTTAAAAACGGAAACAAAAGAATTAAAGTTATTAGAGTTTCTATCGTGTAGAAATTGCAAGAATATATGTTATTTTTTGTCTTTTTTGAAAGAGACTATCGAATCGTTGTTGATCTAACTTAAAAAAAACAATAATATTCATATTAGTTTCTGATAGAATTTGAACTTTAAAATTGGGTCAAAGCAGAATAATCTATGACTGAATGGATATTATTTAAATATCTTATAAATGATAGGGAATAGAAATTGGTCAACTAAAGAAAATCAATTAATCTAATTCCATTTATCATAATTAAACCTTACTAAATAATAAATGTCAATTTTAATGCTAGATATAAAATAAGTTAAGGACGCATAAAAAATCATTGATCATCTTAAGTCATACAATAAAGATTGGAGAAAATTATAAGAAGACATTAAAAAGGAAATTTTCAATTAAATATAGATTGAATGTCAATAGGAAAGATAATAAGTATAATGGAATCCATTAGACTTGATGAAGTTGAAAAATAAGTTATCATAATCATTTAAAAACAATGAGGAAATTAATTTTCTTCTTTAACATATATAAAAAAAGTAAAGCTAAGAAATTCTAAATTAGATTTTATGTTCTGAATTTAATTCACTTAGTGAATGTTTATAATTAATTTCAAAAATTACAAATAAAAAATAACCTTTTTAAACTAAAGGGATATTACAAATGGATGAAATTAAAATAGATATATCTATTAAGGAGAATTAATAAATAAAAGATTTGTTTTCTAAATTTCAATCCTTAAACAAAAGAAGTAACGATCAAATCAATTAATAACTTGAATAATTATACAATTCCTTAGAATAACAACAATAAAATTTTTAAGTTTCTGATTTTAATTCATCTCCGTAATTGGAATATGAAGATCTATTATACTTGTGTAAAAATGTAAATCAGCATTTCTCTTATTATCCAAGACCTGTTTAATTATTATCTGTTATAGAATTATATAATCATTAAGATAAAAAGGGTCGTTTAGCATAGATAAATACGGGGGAAGGAAAAACTCTAATTGTAGCAATGCTAGCCATTCTATTGTGTAAAAAGAAAAAATTAAATGTCGACATTGTAACTAGCTCTCCAGTCTTGGCGATTAGGGATGCTAAAGATTTAGCTCCATTTTATCAATTATTTTCAGTATCGGTAGCTCATAATATAAATGAGTAACCAAGCAACTTAGAAGAGATGCTTCCATGTTATAAATCTCAAGTCATATATGGAGATCCTCATAGTTTCCAAGCTGATATACTTAGACATAAATATTCAGAATTAGGAACGATGGGAGACAGACAATAAGGGTATATCATAATAGATGAAGTTGATGCTATGCTTATTGATGGAAATAGCCATAAGACTTTATTAAGCACACCAATTCCAGGAATGCTTGACTTAACCAAAATACTTAGATTGATTTGGGATGAAATTTGTAAATCAGAGCCAAATCTATCAACAGATAGAAAAGTTATGATAATAGACGGAAAAGATTATTATTGTATTGATTTAATAGATTATGTTTAAAAAGCTTTGGATATTTAAATAAAGGAAGCCTTATAAAATTAAATACCTGCCTTTCGATTAAATTATATCAACTTTATGAAGAAATGTTGGATTGAAAATGCTGTAATGGCTAAATATGATTACTACGAAAATTAAAATTATCTTATTGATAATAACAATGTTCGAATTATTGATTATTAAAATACAGGAGTTGTCCATAAGAATAATACATAATGGTAGAAAGGATTACATTAATTTATTTAATTGAAACATGGTCTTTCTATTACTCCATTAAGAATTAGCACTAAGTTATTGTCTAATGTTGGTTTCTTTAACAGATATAAGCATTAACTTTTAGGTCTAACAGGTACATTGGGATCCTAAATCACACAAAATTTATTAGCCAAAAAATACAATGTTGACTTTGTTTTCATGCCTCCTTATAAATAAAGTCTCTTGAAAGTAGAGCCAGGAATAGCAGCCTTAGGAGAGAATGAATGGCTTGAAGAAATATCAAAAGGAGTATTGTAATAGTTGGAGAAAAAAAGAGCTGTACTAATTATAAATAGAACTATTGAAGATGTTCATAAAATTGAAGGTTATTTAAAAAATTACAATATTAAATCTACCACTTATGTTGACGATAACTAATAAATATCAAAAGAAATTGGTCCAAATCAAATTATTATTGCTACAAATTTGGCTGGAAGAGGAACAGATTTGACTGCTAATAAAGAATTGGAAACTAATGGAGGTCTGCATGTCATTATGTCTTTTTTGCCTCGTAATGTTAGAATTTAACTTTAAGGGTTTGGTAGAGCTGGAAGATAAGGCTAATAGGGTACAGCCTAACTTATAGTAAATTTCTAAACAAATCTATATCTGGGAACATTAAATTAAATTAAAACACCAGAAGATGCAATAAGTTATTATAAAAATAACTAAAAGCAATAAAATTATACTTACTTAGATGTTCTTATATTTTTTCGAGATTTAAATGAATAATAATATTCAAATGAGATAGAGGAAGAGATGGATAAATTACAAAATGAAGACAAATGTTTTGAAAAGTTCTTCAATATTGCAAAGACTTAGGTAAATATTAAAACACATAGAGCTGAATATCTAGCTTTGGAGGAAAAATGGGGACTTTATTTGGAACAAAATTAAGATAAAGGAATAAAAGAAGATGAAATCGAAAGTGTTTTGATTTCTAAAGAAGTGTAAAATCCAAAACATTTGATATATTAGGGACTTTAAAATGGAGATTTAAATATTTTCAAAAGGGCAGCTGAAATAGCTATTTGCGATCCTTAAGTGTAATATTTTAAAGGATTATTTGAAATTTAAAATGAAGAAATATAAAATGGAATATAATCATTAGAGTAGGCAAAATCATTGTTTCAAAATAAAATTGATGATGAAAAAGGATTTGCTACAGCTGCTAAATTAAATAGAATTCAAGTAGATTCGTTTTAAGAAAAGTAATAAATAAGCAAACCTTCATAGACAAATATTTCAATTTAAAAGGAAGATTCACAAATGAAAAAGTTTAACTTAATAAATGATTCAAAAAATCAAAAAATATCTGCAGTTTAATTTTTGGAATAAAGCAAAATCTCAAAAGATGCTGTTGAATAGAAAATATAAAACCATTTAAAAGTGTATTAAAAAGCAATAGATAATATTGATGAGCTTTTAAACACATTAAAAAACTTCCAATCTGAAAAAGAAGAGCTTAATTTAAGTTGGTAACCAGTAATTGCGAAAGAAGAAAAGGAGAACGCTGAATCAGAGCAATCTATTAAAGATTAGTAAGAGGTTATTGATGATGGGCCTTTACCTTAGTTTGGGAAACTTACTAAGATAAAAAAAGAAAAAAAATGGGGTGATTATATTGCAATGTTTGCAATAGGATTAGGTTAATTTGTTATCGGGTGTGGAATATGTGCATTTACTTGCGGAGTAGCTTTACCCATTGGAAAAGCATTGATTACTGAAGGAATTTCAGATATGATATATTCAGTTACTGCAGCTTGGAAAGGAATCGATATTGATTGGGGAGCTTGGGGAAAATAAAAATCCATTAATATTGCCACATCATTGGCTTTGGCAGGACAAGCTGGTATTTAAGAAGCTCTTAAACTTGGTGGCTCAATGATTAAATCCTTAAAGAAAATTGGACTTTCTGAGTTTTTACAATAAATCCCTTCCATTACAATAGAAGGTTTGGAAAAAGCAGGATTTTGGTTGACCAATTAAGAAAAGAAAAATTTATAAAATTAACATGAAACTCTTTAAAAGATTACAGATTCTACAAAGAATGTTGATAAAACTCAAATTCTCAATGTCGCAAATTAAATCATATAAAATTAAAAAAACTTAGGCCTTATATCTGAGTCAACAGCTTCTGAAATTCTTCAGTTAATTAATTTATGCTCCAAATAGTCATAAGGAACTGTTGAAGGATTTAATAATAGTCTAGTTTAAGCTTCATTAAAGTTTATAAAGTTATAGATGGCCAAAGCTAAATCTTAAAAAAATGTCTATGAAATTAAAAAAGATTTAGTGGAGATTTGTTAAAGAGAAGGAAATAAAAAGTATGATTAGGTAAAAAACGATATTTAATAATATAATTAATTTAAGTAAGCTCTTAATAATGAATTACAAAAATTTTCCAATATTATTTGGAATTNGGTACAGCCTAACTTATAGTAAATTTCTAAACAAATCTATATCTGGGAACATTAAATTAAATTAAAACACCAGAAGATGCAATAAGTTATTATAAAAATAACTAAAAGCAATAAAATTATACTTACTTAGATGTTCTTATATTTTTTCGAGATTTAAATGAATAATAATATTCAAATGAGATAGAGGAAGAGATGGATAAATTACAAAATGAAGACAAATGTTTTGAAAAGTTCTTCAATATTGCAAAGACTTAGGTAAATATTAAAACACATAGAGCTGAATATCTAGCTTTGGAGGAAAAATGGGGACTTTATTTGGAACAAAATTAAGATAAAGGAATAAAAGAAGATGAAATCGAAAGTGTTTTGATTTCTAAAGAAGTGTAAAATCCAAAACATTTGATATATTAGGGACTTTAAAATGGAGATTTAAATATTTTCAAAAGGGCAGCTGAAATAGCTATTTGCGATCCTTAAGTGTAATATTTTAAAGGATTATTTGAAATTTAAAATGAAGAAATATAAAATGGAATATAATCATTAGAGTAGGCAAAATCATTGTTTCAAAATAAAATTGATGATGAAAAAGGATTTGCTACAGCTGCTAAATTAAATAGAATTCAAGTAGATTCGTTTTAAGAAAAGTAATAAATAAGCAAACCTTCATAGACAAATATTTCAATTTAAAAGGAAGATTCACAAATGAAAAAGTTTAACTTAATAAATGATTCAAAAAATCAAAAAATATCTGCAGTTTAATTTTTGGAATAAAGCAAAATCTCAAAAGATGCTGTTGAATAGAAAATATAAAACCATTTAAAAGTGTATTAAAAAGCAATAGATAATATTGATGAGCTTTTAAACACATTAAAAAACTTCCAATCTGAAAAAGAAGAGCTTAATTTAAGTTGGTAACCAGTAATTGCGAAAGAAGAAAAGGAGAACGCTGAATCAGAGCAATCTATTAAAGATTAGTAAGAGGTTATTGATGATGGGCCTTTACCTTAGTTTGGGAAACTTACTAAGATAAAAAAAGAAAAAAAATGGGGTGATTATATTGCAATGTTTGCAATAGGATTAGGTTAATTTGTTATCGGGTGTGGAATATGTGCATTTACTTGCGGAGTAGCTTTACCCATTGGAAAAGCATTGATTACTGAAGGAATTTCAGATATGATATATTCAGTTACTGCAGCTTGGAAAGGAATCGATATTGATTGGGGAGCTTGGGGAAAATAAAAATCCATTAATATTGCCACATCATTGGCTTTGGCAGGACAAGCTGGTATTTAAGAAGCTCTTAAACTTGGTGGCTCAATGATTAAATCCTTAAAGAAAATTGGACTTTCTGAGTTTTTACAATAAATCCCTTCCATTACAATAGAAGGTTTGGAAAAAGCAGGATTTTGGTTGACCAATTAAGAAAAGAAAAATTTATAAAATTAACATGAAACTCTTTAAAAGATTACAGATTCTACAAAGAATGTTGATAAAACTCAAATTCTCAATGTCGCAAATTAAATCATATAAAATTAAAAAAACTTAGGCCTTATATCTGAGTCAACAGCTTCTGAAATTCTTCAGTTAATTAATTTATGCTCCAAATAGTCATAAGGAACTGTTGAAGGATTTAATAATAGTCTAGTTTAAGCTTCATTAAAGTTTATAAAGTTATAGATGGCCAAAGCTAAATCTTAAAAAAATGTCTATGAAATTAAAAAAGATTTGGTGGAGATTTGTTAAAGAGAAGGAAATAAAAAGTATGATTAGGTAAAAAACGATATTTAATAATATAATTAATTTAAGTAAGCTCTTAATAATGAATTACAAAAATTTTCCAATATTATTTGGAATTATTTTAATCAAGATTAAGAAGTCTAAAAAAAAATTATTTTTCTAGATCTTTATTATGAATTATTCTGCGATCAACAATAAGTCTAAAAAATGGTTACAAATAATATGGTATAGTCTCATCTTCAAAAATATTTTAGTATTCACAATAAAACTGTTCAAAATGCTTGTAATTAAGTGTAAATTTCAAACCCTCACTCTATGAATTAGTTTTATTAAATCGTTATGAGACCTAGCATTACTCAAACATTGAATGATTTAAGACCTTAAATACTATATACAGAACCATTAGAAATTGTATTTTAATAGGAGTATTTGAATAAGTTTCTCTCACTATAATAGTAGTCCAAAATTATGAAAAACGACTTAGAAATTCAACAGAAGGAGCTTAAATATTAATAAGATTTGATTACTCGCCGAATCTAAAAGTCAAGTAGTGAAATTATGAGGATTAATTAGGTATTATAATAATGATATCATTAGGCGATCGACTAGTTTAATTTCAATTGGGAATTAATAGAACAATTATTGAAGGATATTAAAGAAATATAGAATTTTTAAAATTAGTAATTTGTGAAGGAACTTATTGGCAACATGAAAAATAAAGGGATGATCTATGATGATGGGATTTCATTCTCTCCAAAATTTTAACAAGAATTTAAGAATTTCTTAATGAAATAAAATTTTAACAAGAGGATGAAAGATATTACCCAATAAGCTATGGAAAGCAGCTTAAATTTAATTTCTAAAATAAATTAAACATCAAATAAAACACTGAAAAATAAATTGTTAGAAGCAATAGAAGTTGAAATGATTGATTAGGTAAAAAAATAAATTTTCGACTTAAGAATGTAAAATGCAGATAAAAAGATCATAAGTAAATTCAATTGATAATATTAAATTATACCAATTAAATTAATTTTAAAATATATCTTATTCGCAAAAAATAGTCTGTTTTTATTATTTATTCAAATAGAGAGATTAATGGGATTTTAAATTCGTTATTTTTAGTATGATTTCCATTTCCACTCTATCTTTTTATTTAGAATGTAAAAAACTCAATAAGTTTAGAATAATAACTATTTTATTAGATATAATTTTAATATCTATTAATAGAATTTGATTTAAATGAAAAATAATTGACCAAGCTCAATCAAAGATACAGATATTCCAATTTTGAGATAACAATTCCTAAATTACCTATGCCAGAATAAGAATATTTTTAATTAAATTTACTTTGTTGGTTTGCACTAATTGAATAAACTTTAAGTTGCAAATGATTATTGATCATAAAGGGAATTCATTTTAATTAAATCTAAAAACAGCTAAAAGATTTTAACCATTCCAGAAATTTTTTTTCATATTCGAATATAATTTAAAAAATAACAGGCCATTTAAAAATAAGTATTAAACGACCAAAATAACAAGAATTTTATACTACTCTTACAGCTAAACTAAACGAAATAAAAGAAAACAACTAAAAAATAGATTAGCATAATAATCGATAAAGAAATATCTAATATTCATCACATACAATTAAAATTGTTTTGAATAATTAAGCATCATATCCAATGAATAGCCATTTTAGAGTTAATGATTAATTACCCCATAACCTACGAGATTCAATAATATTTCAAAAAAAAAGAAAATCAAAGTAAAAGTTTGGTATTTCGCATTTATTCTTATAAAATACTAAAATAAAGACATTTTAAGAGACTTATCGAATAAAAAGACTTTAGGTTAGAATACAAATTTATGTGATATTATAATTAATCCCCTTTATAAAGTATATCTACAAAAACCTAGAGAATATAAATTTGGGCCAATATTAGTTCTAAGTTCTCAATCTAAAATATATTTATTTAAGATTCTCCTATAAGCTAAAAAAATTCAATCTAATAAAATGAACAGCTGAATTATAAAAAAAAATAAATTTTATACAAAAGTATTATATATTACCCAAAAAAGTATAAGAATTAGTTGGAAGATAAAAATCCTCCTCTATTTATAATATTAAGGAAACTTTATAGGCATTCATAATATTTATGTTTAAATGAATTAAGGTTCAAATTTATACGATATTTCTTGCTAATCCTGTAATTAAAAATAAAAAAACTAAGTTTATTAAATCTTTAGTTTTAAAATAGTACTTGTTGCCAAACAAATTGTTTCTGTCTTTCTCTTTAAGATATCAGAAAGTTTTGTGAAAGATAGTATCAACATAAAATTAATTAAACAGTATTTTTTTTGGTAGATGGTGGTGTGTTTTATTTAAATCAGCTAAGACAGATCTAATTGCATAATTCTAACTCGAAAATTTGTTAGGAATTTCTTTAGGTGTCTCATAATTATGTAAAGTCATAATCATTTAATCAAAATAGTCTTAGAATTTCTAATAAACAGAATTAATTTTTGCATACTTGTCTGGAGTTTTTCTACCATAAAAACAACCAAAATTTGTCTATTTGGCTATTCTTCTTGGTTAATTTTTTTATTGGTCTCTAATAATACAAGGTAGAAAGGAAAGCAGAGCCTAACAATGTTGCTCCAAAAGTTATATCATATAGTATTATCATCTTAATAGCAATTTTTTTTTCTAATATCATTAGAGGACTTAATTTTAACATGAAATGAGGGATTCTTTTGAAAATGAATAATAATCGATTTTATTTAGAATTAATTATCGATATTTTTTCATTAAAGCAATAATGAGCAATAATTATTATATGTATNTAATTTTAAAATATATCTTATTCGCAAAAAATAGTCTATTCTTATTATTTATTCAAAGGGAGAGATTAATGGGATGTTAAATTCGATATATTTAGCATGATTTCTATTTCCAGCTATCTTTTTATATAGAATGTAAAAACAGTCAATAAGTTTAGAATAATAACAATTTAATTGATATCATTCTAATATCTATTATTAGAATTTGATTTAAACGAAAATTATTGACCAAACTAAATCAAAGATACAGATATTCCAATTCTGAGGTAACAATACATAAATTACCTATTCCAGAATAATGATATTTTTAATTAAATTCACTTTGTTGATTTGCACTAATTGAATAAACTTTTAGTTGCAAATGATTATTGATATAAAGGGAATTCATTTTAATTAAATCTAAAAACAGCTAAAAGATTTTAACCATTCCAGAAATTTTTTTTCATATTCGAATATAATTTAAAAAATAACAGGCCATTTAAAAATAAGTATTAAACGACCAAAATAACAAGAATTTTATACTACTCTTACAGCTAAACTAAACGAAATAAAAGAAAACAACTAAAAAATAGATTAGCATAATAATCGATAAAGAAATATCTAATATTCATCACATACAATTAAAATTGTTTTGAATAATTAAGCATCATATCCAATGAATAGCCATTTTAGAGTTAATGATTAATTACCCCATAACCTACGAGATTCAATAATATTTCAAAAAAAAAGAAAATCAAAGTAAAAGTTTGGTATTTCGCATTTATTCTTATAAAATACTAAAATAAAGACATTTTAAGAGACTTATCGAATAAAAAGACTTTAGGTTAGAATACAAATTTATGTGATATTATAATTAATCCCCTTTATAAAGTATATCTACAAAAACCTAGAGAATATAAATTTGGGCCAATATTAGTTCTAAGTTCTCAATCTAAAATATATTTATTTAAGATTCTCCTATAAGCTAAAAAAATTCAATCTAATAAAATGAACAGCTGAATTATAAAAAAAAATAAATTTTATACAAAAGTATTATATATTACCCAAAAAAGTATAAGAATTAGTTGGAAGATAAAAATCCTCCTCTATTTATAATATTAAGGAAACTTTATAGGCATTCATAATATTTATGTTTAAATGAATTAAGGTTCAAATTTATACGATATTTCTTGCTAATCCTGTAATTAAAAATAAAAAAACTAAGTTTATTAAATCTTTAGTTTTAAAATAGTACTTGTTGCCAAACAAATTGTTTCTGTCTTTCTCTTTAAGATATCAGAAAGTTTTGTGAAAGATAGTATCAACATAAAATTAATTAAACAGTATTTTTTTTGGTAGATGGTGGTGTGTTTTATTTAAATCAGCTAAGACAGATCTAATTGCATAATTCTAACTCGAAAATTTGTTAGGAATTTCTTTAGGTGTCTCATAATTATGTAAAGTCATAATCATTTAATCAAAATAGTCTTAGAATTTCTAATAAACAGAATTAATTTTTGCATACTTGTCTGGAGTTTTTCTACCATAAAAACAACCAAAATTTGTCTATTTGGCTATTCTTCTTGGTTAATTTTTTTATTGGTCTCTAATAATACAAGGTAGAAAGGAAAGCAGAGCCTAACAATGTTGCTCCAAAAGTTATATCATATAGTAATTAAAAATTATCTAAAAAAAATAATTTTCTGCGGCTGTTCTATTTAAGAACAAACTATTGCCGAATTAACTAACTTGTAAAATAATATATCAGAATATCTTAAATTTAAATTAAGTTTAGAAAAAAAAATAATTGATTTAGAAAGAATTATATTTAATTGAAAAGGATTTGGAAAACTATTTATTTGGGAATCTAGCTTCTAATCGCTCAAAACAAGAATTTTGAATTTACTTGAAAATGTATAGATAGATGAATCATTTAAGAACGTCAATGATAAAAAATTTAACAATCTATAGTTGAATATTGAATTAGAAAAATATAAGAAACTGATGTAATAATTAGAATAATTTAACATTAAAAAAAATTTATTAAGGTAGATAATGTTAGATAGTGAATTTATCATCTTGAAATCCTTATTTAAATATTGAAAAATTCCTTGAACTAAAATTTACAAATTTTTAACATTCTCATTGTTGAATAGTTGAAAGATTTACAAAATAAAAGAAGAATTTGAGTAAAATTTCATTGATTAAGTTTACTTGATAGAATTGAATATTGATCTTGTTAAAGAATATAGCACTAAATAAGAAATTATGCCTAATATTTTTTCTAATTAAGAGATTGTCTATGAGGAAAAATTAAGAACGAATATATAAATCTGAATAACTTAAAGAATACAAGAATACAGAAATTATTTTTTTGCAAGTACAAAACTATAATCTTGATAATGATCACCAATAAACAAAAATATTATTCATTTTTTTTATCAAGCTAAAGACTGAGATAAAAGAAATACTGATATTATCTAATTCATAATTCTAAGAAATGACTTTTAGGTTAGATAATCTATTTCAGAAAATAAAGAAAATATATATGTAGGAAAGTTTAGAGGATTAGGAAAATCCCTTTAATCATAAGGCTTTTTAGATATTTTGATTCAAAAGTGTAAAGATTTTAAATATAATGAAGAATGCTAGTATTTACTTTAATTTAGATTTCATCATATTGCTTTACAAATAAAATTATGTAATTTAGTTAAAAAGCTCTAATTTAATTGTGGGTTTTAGAAAAAGATTAAAGATTGAGAAATTTATTAAAAAATGAAAACTTATTAAGTTTATTGATGTAAATTTTATAGAAAGTTTGTAGACTTAACATGATAGAATTGCAGGAGAAATTTAAGAAATGCTGAAGAAGATTGATTAATTGTAAGTATCAATTTCTCATAAGGCAAATCTAAGATGAAGTGAGCTGTAATTGATAGAAATGGATAAAACAACATCGTAATTAGATGAATACATTTAAAATATCCGTGAATTGGGCTAATAACTTAGATTGGTAACTGATTTTGTAAATCATATCAGAAAAGGTTTGCTAAGAGTTGAAGGAAAATTAATCAAAGGAAATAGCTGAACAGCATGGGGAATGATATTCAATTGTCGAGAAGAAAATCAGTTATATAATTGCTTGAAATTAGAAAATGGAAAGTTTTGAAGAAAGCCGCAGAAAAAAATGTTAATTCCATCTATGAACCATTAATAACTCAAGAGTAAGATAAAAAAAGTCAGAGTGAAAGGATTGGCTGGATAAGGCAAAGGTACTACAGCAAAGAATATTAAAGAGTTTATTTGGAAAATACATGACAGAAATAAAAAAATTGGGAATTATGTACTAATACCTGCTTATATTTCATTGCACTCTTAAAAAAACCCTGTGTTTTAAGCAGTCGAGGAATCACATCATTTAGATGATTACAAGCATGATAATCTCTAATTCAAAGAGTGTAATGAAATGTTGTAAAAGAAAGAATTCTGATTCATATTTATAATGGACAGTTATGATGAAATTAAGCTAGAAAATATTTAGAAAAATTTATAAATTAATATATACTGAGATAAAATTCACTATTTAGAGTATTAAAATGTTGATTTTTGATATATGCGAATGTAAGTATAAACTTAAAACCAAAAAATATTGGATCTAAAAAGGTTTGAACAGAGTTGGGAAAAAATTTAGTAATTATTTTTGAAATTCAATGAAGCAAGGTGGAAATCTGAAACTCTTTTGAATGAAAAATAAATAATCAGTATTTTATAATTTTTGAAGGATGATGAGTTAATTGCTTTAAAAAGCAATGAAGCTATAAGAAGCTTGAGCATAAATTTACAAAAATTATGGAGTTTAAAAAGTATAAAGATATGATGATTTCGGTAAATCTAAATAAATTAGTTGAAACTCCATATATGATGGAAATTATAATGTAAGTGTTGCCCAAAATGTTTATTAACATTAAATTAAGCTTCTTGAAGAATTTTTCAAAGATGTTGAAAGAATTTTTCACAAGTAAAAACAGAATTTAAATATATAAATCACAACAAAAAAGGCATCTTTAGGAGTCAATAAATGAATTTAATAAAGAACCTGAAGCACTAACTTAAGTTGATTATGATGAATTCTTGGAAGTTACACATAACAATTTATAGAACTTGTAAATTATTGATTACCATTAAATTGCTTTTGAAGCTTGGAATATTTTGGAAGAAAATTTGATTCCTTAATAATTGTAAATCTCTAAAGAATCTGTAGAAGGGCATATATAACTTGAAAATATATTTGAAACAAATCTTTTGCTACCAAATTAGATATTAAAGAAAATAAAAATTTAATAGGAAGAAATAATCTAATTTGCCAATGATGCATTAAAAAGAATACGATCTTACAATTTATGACTTTTATTGTGAGTTTATCAATCATTACCACTTGAAATAAAATGAAAAATAAGGAAACTTAGGAAAATCAATAGATACTGATCGTTTTCTACATGATCTATTAGAATACTCAATTAGATTTGCAAAATGAGTAAGAAAGAACTGACATAATTTTTATATAAGTAGTAAGGATTTTTATATTAAAATGAAAGAACAGAAGAACAATCACTAAATGAATTTTTCATTATGATGGTTAAAACGGAGCTTATAAAAAAGATATAAGAAGTTGTTCACTTGTCTAATAAAAAGGTGCTAACTTTTAATTTAACCATAAATCAATATAAGAGTTCTTGATTGCAGCTGTGAGGTTTTAGTTCAAACAAAAAATTTTGATACATAAATATTGAAAATTATAATAGAAATATTGTCAAAAAAAGAGAATCAAAATTAGGATTGCTTAGAGTTTATAAAATATATCAATTAAAAATATTCATAGAATTATAATTAAATTGGATTTAAATCACTTCTAGAAAAACAAAAATAATTTGATGCATTTCAATAAACTATTAATTCAATTACTCGTTTTTAATCAAAATCATTAAAATACATGGTATTAATTCTGTTAATTATTCCACTGAAACCTATACTGAAACAAGGTAATATCTCATTTAAAAAACATAACAAGAGGTTAAAATAATTGAATTTTTGAAATTCTTAATACATCTTACAAAAATTGATACAAATTTTATTATAATTGGATCAAATGCACTTAATTTATTGGTTGAAATGAAGGTGGATGTAAAAAACTAAAATTTTAAAAATATAAGGATTGAAAATACTAATATATTTGGGGGTAATTTTGCTAAATGCAATTTATCTAAATCTTAATTTAAGAAGTGAATTTAAATGGAGCTTAATTATTTGGATGTAACTGGTAATAATTAAAAAAATACGATTTGTATTAATTGGATGGTCATACTAGTACTGTCTGGTCAGTCTGTTTCTCTCCTGATGGAAATACATTAGCTTCTGGTAGTAGTGATAAGTCTATTCGTCTATGGGATGTCAAAACAAGATAATAAAAAGCCAAATTAGATGGTCATAGTGATGAAGTTAGATCAGTCTGTTTCTCTCCTGATACCATTGTTTAGATTAAACATATAAAGATAATAAGATAAAAATAGACTAATTCTTTTTATAACTATAATTTTTCATCAAGTGATTAAGATGCTTCTAAAAATACCAATCTAAGTTTGTCTCAAAAGGCAATTTTACCATTTAGAGATTTATGAAGTAACTAACATTAAATCCTGTATTTTAATAATATTTTTATAAACCTTAATTCTAAAATTTATATAATTATCAAATTGTTTATTAGTGAATAATTACTTTAATCATATAAGTAAATATTCACAAGCATTTATGTGTGTGGCCAATGATTAATATCATTAATTTTGTACTTTTAATATATTTAGTTAGTTCTTCAAATTTATTATCCAATACATTTTAGGGGGTTAATTTCATATTTTTAGAGAATAAAATTTTGTTATTTTGGGTTTATATATTATGTATATGTAAAATAGAGTACCAATATTGGAAATTATTTAATATAAATTTAGGGTAACTTCATAATTTCATCATGAATAAATTTAATTGTAAAATTGAATTAGATGATGAGTTTATAAAATAGATTCAAATTTTAAAGCTCAAGAATGATGAGGGTACTATTTTTTCTATATATTAATTAAATCTGTGAGAATCCTATTGAAGGTTACAGTGATTATACATAATCTCAGTCATTTATAAATGTTTATTATTTGATGTATATTAAAATTTAGGTTGAGCCTAAGTTAAATATAATTAATATTGTGAGATGGTTGATAGGGAAGATATAATTTTCTCCTTTAATCTTAATCCTTTCAATTATATTGTATTTCTTGATGATTAATTAATCTTTTCAGTCTTTTATACTATCTAATACTTTTATATCAATTGAAGAATAATAATCAAAGGTGATAGGTACGTTACTTTAAATATGAAATATCATCAAAATCTATTTATGAACTAATTTTACAAAATTGTTAAGTATTTTGTTAAGACTCTAGCTTTAAAAGTGAAGATTATAAGTGAAACTAATAAAGACAGAATTAAAAAAAAAGATTAATTGATTGTAATTATATATGTTGCTTGATAATGATCAAAATCACTTCTACTATAAAACTTCTAAAAAGCAACTTCCTTTTGATTTAAATAAAGGTTTTAAATCTAACCCTTAATGATTGATGAATTCTCCTTAAAAGATAAGCGTACTAGATGTTTCAAATAAAGGATTCTAATAAATTCTAAGTATTGTACGGTCAGGATTAACTAAATAATAATAAATAACTAATACCATTTGGTAATAATGCGCTATTCTAAAGTGGTATTTAAAACGAGGTAAGAATATCTTTTTATATTTTGTCATAGGATGAAAGTTCTTTTACATTCTTTACATCCTATAAACAGATAGACTTACCTTCAAGAGAAGAAGCGAATGTATTTCCATCAGGAGAGAAACAGACTGACAAGATTCCATTAGTATGACCATCTTATTTGGCAGTATATTTACCTGTTTTGACATCCCATAGACGGATAGAGTAATCACAACTACCAGAAGCTAATGTATTTCCATCAGGAGATAAACAGACTGACAAGATTCCATTAGTATGACCATCTAATTTGGCTTTTTGTTATCCTGTTTTGACATTCCATAGACGGATAGAGTAATCACCACTACCAGAAGCTAATGTATTTCCATTAGGAGATAAACAAACCGACAATATACCACCAGTATGACCATCTAATTTAGCTTTTTATTATCCTGTTTTGACATCCCATAGACGGATAGACTCATCATCACTACCAGAAGCTAATGTATTTCCATCAGGAAAGAAACAGACTGATTAAACATAATCACTATGACCTTCTAATTTGGCTTATTATTATCCTGTTTTGACATCCCATAGACGGATAGAGTTATCACTACTACCAGAAGCTAATATATTTCCATCAGGAGAGAAACAGACTGAGTTAATACAACTACAATGACCATCTAATTTGGCTTATTATTATCCTGTTTTGACATCCCATAGACGGATAGAGTTATCACTACTACCAGAAGCTAAAGTATTTCCATCTGGAGAGAAACAGATTGAGTTAATACAACTACTATGACCTTCTAATTTGGCTTTTTATTATCCTATTTTGACATCCCATAGACGGATAGACTTATCACCATCTCCAATGATACTGCCACCACCAGATGCTAATGTTTTTCCATCAGGAGAGAAACAAACTGATGAAACAGGTTCATTATGACCTTACAATTTATTCAACTCATTGATTTTCAAGTTCTTCCATTTGCAATAGAATAGTTTAGCACCATTAAAATTGACTCCACTGATATCCACATTCTCAAACTCAGATCCACTTAAGTTACATCTTACAAAATATCCTCCAATTAAAGAAGTATTCTTGATTCTGATATTCTCAAAGGATTTGTTCCGAATATCTACCTTCATTCCTACACATAAATTCAATCCATTAGATCCACTTTAAATAAATTTACCGTCTATGCTTGTGAGGAGAACTAAAAACCTGATAAAATCTATGATTCCCTTATTATTCTTCATCCTATTAATTAGATCTAGTCTTTCTTTTTCATTTGTCTCTTAAGAATAGTCATATTTATTAAATTTATGATCCTAAATATTCCTCAAAATATTAGTTATTTTCATTATTTACTTCTTTACATCCTTGATATTCTGTTGCTTGTTGCTTAAAGATTCATAAAAGTTTTGATTGTTGTTATTCGAAAGGAATTTAAGGACATCTAAAACTTTCTCTCTTCTAAGTATTTCAAGAATCTTCTAATAGAGAGAGATTCATCTATATCCTGGATGTAAGTTAGTATTTCAAAAAGATCTTCTTTCATTTAGTAAACTACTTCTTTCCTAGAGATATGATTTAAATACTTACTCAATTGATTATTTAATCTATCGGATTCCTTCCTTTGACTTTTCAATAAAAGCCTTAATAAGCTGGTCCCACCAACTCTTGGTCTAATCCAACTCCTTCAATAAAGAATTTTTCTAAGCATTCCAATCATTTAAAGTTGATCCTTCTACAATGTTTACTAATTTTTCCAAGTCTGTGTAAGAGGATTCAGCTAGATTAGTATTTTCGTTGATGATGTTAAAGTATGATTAGTTTTCCTTTTCAATCCAATCGTAAACTTATTTGATTGATTGTGACAACTCATCCCAAATTTTCTTCATCATTTATTCTGTTTGAGAGAGTAAGGTCTTAAAGGCCAATCTCTATTTAGTTAGTTCAGATGTATCATTAAGCTTGGAGTCTTGTAATTTCTTGAAATTTAAAAATCGGAACTGTTTGTTTGAGATCCACTCCATGGTCATATTGGCATTCTACACAAAGTTTTCTTTAGCACTTGTGAGGAGCAATACATATCAAAGATATTGGACTTTTGATATGATAAGTGCAATTCATTATTTTTAATATTGAATTTTATTAGTCTAATTTGAAGTTAGATACTACAAAATCGATAAAACTATCTTGTGTATTTTTGTAAAATAGAAGTTAGGACTTTGTTTAGATGATATAGATGTAAATGATGCAATTAAGAATTTATTTCAACAACTGAATTAGATTTTTCAATAATATAGAATATTTGTATTTTATATGACTATTTTAATTTATACAAATTTTGAGTTTTTAGATTAATTCATTAATTTTTCTTGATTATCTTTAATTTTTTCAGGTATAAGTTTAAGGTTGAAATATGAAACGTTAATAAAAATTTTTAAGATTAATCCTACTTTTAAACAGTAATAAATTAAGTCAATCTATCATATAATATCCTTGATGATTATAGAAAAGAATTTGTGTTAAATTTGTTTTCTTTAAGTAATTATTTTGATCTTTATTTTAAACTCTTCATCTAATGTTCTCTGTTTAAAGTATTAGTTGAATGTAGTATCAATCAAAATTAAATCTCAAGAAATATTAATTGATAACAATTTTTATGATATCTAAAGAATTATTCCCTACACCAAACTGACTATATATTTTTAATAATATATAAATAGATGCGATGTATAATTGACTGAAATGGAATAAATCTTAAAAAATATACTTCCTTATTTAGCTTTGAAAGTGAAGATGAAGAGTGAAACTAATAGCAAAAGAATAAAAAAAATTATTAGAAATTGATTGTAATTATAATTGCTGTTGATAAATTATCAAATTCATTTGAGCTTTAGGTCGTCTAAAAAATAACTTCCTTTAGATTTTAATAAAGGTTTCAAATCTTTTCCTTAATGGTTGATAAATTCTCCTTATAAGATAAGTGTTCTTTATGCTTCTAGTTAAGGATTCTAACAAATTCTAAGTATTGTACGATCTGGATCAACTAAAAAATAAATAATAAATACCATTTGGTAATGATAAGCTATTCTTAAGTGATGTTTAAAAATAGATAAGAAGATCTTAGTAACTTGTATCTATTTAGTGTATTTCCTTTGATGTTTTGTAATCCCAAAGACATATAGAGTTATCTTAACTACCTGATGCTAATGCATTTCCATCAGGAGAAAAACAGACTGAGAAAACTAAATTACTATGGCCATCCATTTTGACTTTTAATTATCCTGTTTTGACATCCCAAAGACGGATAGACTTATCCCTACTACCAGATGCTAATGCATTTCCATCTGGTGAGAAACAGACTGAGAAGACAGTACCACTATGATCTTCTAATTTGTCTTTTTATTATCCTGTTTTGACATTCCAAAGACGAATAGAGGTATCGTCACTACCAGAAGCTAAAGTACTTCCATCTGGTGAGAAACTGACTGAGTAGACAGTACCACTATGACCTTCTAATTTGGCTTTTTATAATCCTTTTTTATAATCCCATAGACGGATGGACTTATCATAACTACCAGAAGCTAATAAATTTCCTTTAAGAGTGAAACAGACTGAGTTGATACAATCATTATGACCATCCAATGTGGCTTTTTATTATCCTGTTTTGACATTCCAAAGACGAATAGAGGTATCGTCACTACCAGAAGCTAAAGTACTTCCATCTGGTGAGAAAATGACTGAGTAGACAGTACCACTATGACCTTCTAATTTGGCTTTTTATTATCCTGTTTTGACATCCCAAAGATGGATAGAGTTATCTTAACTACCAGAAGCTATTGTATTTCCATCAGGTGAGAAACAGACTGAGAAAAATAAATTACTATGATTATCCATTTTGACTTTTTATTACCCTGTTTAGACATCCCAAAGACGAATAGACTTATCCCTACTACCAGAAGCTAATGTATTTCCATCAGGAGAGAAACAAACTGAGCAGACGGGACTAATATGTCCATCTAATTTGGCTTATTATTATGCTGTTTTGACATCCAAAATACAAATAGACTTATCCTTACTACCAGAAACTAATGTATTTCCATCTGGGGAGAAACAGATTGAGTTGATACAATCTTCATAACCTTCCATAATGGCTTTTTATTATGCTGTTTTGACATCCCATAGACGGATAGACTTATCATCACTACTAGAAGCTAATGTATTTCCATTAGGAGAGAAACAGATTGAGTTTACATTGCTAGTATGACCATCTAATTTGGCTTTTTATTATCCTGTTTTAACATCCCAAAGACGGATAGAGTAATCATTACCACCAGAAGCTAATGTATTTCCATCAGGAGCGAAACAGATTGAGAGAACAGTACCAGTATGATCTTTTAATTTGGTTTTTGATTATCCTGTTTTGACATTCCAAAAACGAATATCGTAAAAACTAGCAGATGCTAATGTATTTCCATCAGGAGAGAAGCAGACTGATCTAACAGCATCACAATGACCATCCAATTAGGCTTTTTATTATCCTGTTTTGACATCCCAAATACGGATAGACTTATCATCACTACCAGAAGCTAATGTATTTCCATCGGAAGAGAAACAGACCTATTAAACAGATTGAGTATGACCGTATAGTTTGACTTTTTTCTTTCTTGTTTTAACATCCCATAATATGACAGTCCCATCAGCACTTCCAGAAGCTAAGGTTCTTGCATCAGGAGAGAAGCAGACTGATCTAATAGTATTACTATGGCCATCCAATTTGGCTATTTATTACCCTGTTTTTATATCCCATAGGCGGATAGACTTATCATAACTACCAGAAACTAATATATTTCCATCACGAGAGAAACAGACTGATTAAACAGATCGAGTATGACCATTTAATTGATTTAATTGAAGGATTTTTAATTATTTCCATTTACAATTAAATAATAATGCTCCACTTAGATTTAATCCACTTATGTTGACGTTATTAAATTAGGATCCACTAAAATTACACATAGCAAAATTAGCTCCTACTAAAGAAGTATTTTAGATCTTAATATTTTCAAAATTTTTGTTTCTGAGGGCTACCTTCATCTAAACTAATATATGTAATGAATTAGACCCACATTGTATAAAAGTTTCATCTATAGATGTGAGTTAAACTAAAAATTACAAAAATTTAATGATCCATCTATTATCCTTGATTCTTTAAATTAGACTTAGTTTCGATTCTTCATTTTCTTAAGAGGAAAAATCTAAGTAATTGAAGTCGTGATCATTTAATTTTTTTAATACATTTGTAATTAATTTGATGTCATTGTAAATAATAGATAATTTCTATTCTGTATCAGCTGCGATGAAATTTCCAACTTGTAGTAAAATTTATCCATCTGATTATCTCTAAATCTCAAAATCTGATAGAAATCTTATGCAGTCTTTAAGTTATTTCTTTCTTAATATTTCTAATATGACCCCAAAGATTTTTTCATTCACATCTTTAACTTAAGCCAAGATGTCGACTAGAGCTTCTTTCTCTTAAAAATAGCTCTGCATTTTCTTTTTTTAGTTTTAATATTGAATTTCTCTTACTTTAATTTAAGTTATATACTGCAAAATCGATAAAAGTATCTTGGGCATTTCTGTAAAATATAAGTTAGGACTTTGTGTAGATTTGGAATTGATTGTAATTGTGATAAAATATGTTATAAAGGATTCATTTCAACAAATGCATTACTTGATTTTTTAAGAATATAGAATATTTTTATTTTTGATGAATATTTTAATTTATACAAAAATAGAGTTCTATAAATAAATCATTAATTTTTCTAGTTTTTCTTTAATTTTTCAGCTAACTCCATAGGATTTTTGGATTTATTGTATTAGTGTTATGTAAGATTTTATATATATTGCACTTGGTATGGCCATCAGATATAGGTGTCAACTCTCAGTTGGAGAAATAGTGGTCATAAAATATTATATAGGTTTTTATAAAAAAGTAAAGGGGGGGTATTGTAAAAAAGTGAAGATGTACGTTATTGTAGAAACTGATTAAGATGAAATTAAAGGTGTTCACTATTGATCTTAAAATTGTATAGGCTATTAATTGTGTATGATTTGTATAGAATCATTTTTTCAAAATGT